CCACCACAGTTACCACAACCACTAGAAACATGAAAAGTAATTTTGTGTATGCAGTTGTATGCAAGTAATTTATTGAGGACTAAATCATATGTGCTCTAGCTAGCTCTACATGTACCTTGTGAGACCTAGCAGTTAGTTGTATGATTTTTTATATTCAACATAATGCAATCATAACAATACATACAAATTGTTTAAAAAAATAAAAAGTTAGTGAAAATAGTTTCTGCAAATGTTATGCAGCTATGATTTGCTTGTTAATCACTCAGTTAATCAGTAAAGTTGCCTTGTATATAGAAATAGCCGAATCCACTAATTTGAAGGGGTGTCCACATACTTTTGTATATATAGTGTACTTCTGGTGTAGCAAAATGCTATGTTTGTGTCAGCGATATCGAGGCGTTAAGGTTAGGGGAAGGGTTAGCTAGCATGATAAGTAGTTGCAAAGTAGCTAAAAAATAGCAAGCAGTTGCAAATTAACTAAAGGGATGAGATTCGAACATTCACGTTATACACCCGACCAACCTCACTCATTGTTTCTGTTTTCAATAACCTACTATCTTTATCCGTGAGATTGAAATTCAATGTATACAACATCGTGTACTGCGTGTACTGTACTGTGCCTGTCACGAATTTCCAATGAGCAATTTGTGTCTATTTCACAATAATCTGTGATACTGGGTTGACTAGAGTATCTGGTCAATATAATGGATAATCTGTGTCTAGGGGTGTTGTGCTTGTTACAGCCTACAGAGGGAGCCGCTAGTGGTTGCTAGCCTGCCTAGTCAGTGAGTCAGTTGAATGAGAGAGCCAACTGAAAACAACTGAAGAGAGAAGCACTAGATAAAATCATGATTTTAAACTTTATCTTCATGGTGAGCGAGTTATAAAGCATAGATCTGCCTCTGCAAGCCTCCTGCAGGAATTTGCCTATTACGGCTTCATTCTGCAGAAATTTGCTTTGTCCTGCAGGAATAAATTAATACTGCAGGATCTGCCTCCGCAGAGTTTACTGCAGGAATTTGCCTTGACCTGCAGAAAGGTACCTACTTTGATTTTTGAAATTCCTGCAGGAGTGCTGTTTAAGCATAGGCAAAACTGACAGTTATCAACTTTTGTCCTGCAGGATTGCATTAGTCCTGCAGGTCACCTGCACAATTCCTTCACAGAGGCTCAAATTCCTGCAGGATTCCTGTGGGACTTTTATTGTAAGGGTTCTCCTTTTTTTGGAAGGGGGTAGAATAGAACAGATATAGAATAGATACAAATTATTTTGCTGTCACAATACCCAACCCCAGTAGGCTTACAGGGTCAGCCTCAGAGCAGCATGTTATGGGTTAAATGCCTTGCTCAAGGGCACAAGAGCAGTAGGAAGCACCTGAGATGTTCATGCCAGCAACCCTCCTCGTTGCCATCTCACTCTAAATAGGTTGTGAAAAAATTGTCTAAATTGTCCTGCAACACAAATCACCACTTGAGGGCAGCGTGAGATTGATACGCTTAGCAGACACCATCTCTTTGCACATCCAGTAGTAGCCTGTTCATGTCTAGATGTAGCTTTATTTGAGAGACACCACATTTTTCTCAGTGTTTTCAATTCTGTTATATTATACATCACATTCAGCCCATGTTAAAGCACACAGCTTTATTCAAACAGAACATTCAGCCCACGTTAAAGCACACAGCTTTATTCAAACAGAACATTCAGCCCACATTAAAGCACACAGCTTTATTCAAACAGAATTTGTCCTATTTTCTCATATTTATTGGCACTGCTAGAGGCTAAGGAATGATCCTGTGGTGATGTACTGTAGCGCACACGTGTGTATTTCTCATGCTTACGGCCAATAAGAAAGGATGATCTTTAATGTCCTCCAGGGGAAAATTGTCTTCGACACACAGTACTCCTGTATACATTGCACGTTACCCATCAATAGCCACAAGAAGCCTAATGAAAGGGTCTAAAGGGGACCTAATACTTTATCCAGAATCTAAAGCATAATCGGATATGGATGCATACAAACAAGCGCACGCACACACACACACACACACACAGTGAGAAAGAGAGAGCGAAACACACACAGAGGCGCTGAAACATAGAGAGAAAGCTACAAACATATCATAAGACAATATTCCAATAAAACATGAAAAACAAGGACACATTTGATACATAAAACCCTCTATTTTCCAGTATAAATTATTTTCGAACATTGTTTTGTTAAAAACAAAACATCACCACTTTATTTGCAGTCCCAATACCTATTGGGATACAATCCTTGGTGGTATAGTACCTCAGAGACAGGCTTCTCTGTAACTTAACATAGATGATACTGAAGAGAAGAACGAGGAAGAGGAGGAGGAAGAGGAGGAGGAGGAGGAGGAGGAGGAAGAAGAGAAAGAGAAAGAGGAAGTGGAAGAGGAGGAGGAAGAGGAAGAGGAGGAAGAGGAGGAGGCGGAAGAGGAAGAGGAAGAGGAAGAGGAGGAGGAAGAGGAGGAAGAGGAGGAGGAGGAAGAGCATTTCACAGTGCTGCAACAGTTCATCTTGAGCTGGACACAATAGATGAACCCAGTGGTGGTCCCTTTAGCAATGAGATTGTGATGATGGGAACATTTGATGTTTTAGGGACACAATGTACATCACCCTCTCCTTCTAAAAATACATAATCAATGTGTGGAGGCCACAGGAAGGAGTAGAAGAATATGACTATTGTCCAATGGAAACTTCTGCTTTATTCCAACCCCTCCGAAAGACACACATATAGAGGTTGGAGAATGGAGGAGGAGGAGGTGGATGAAGAGTGTGGCACTAGAAAGGTGTGTCCATATGACTTCCCTTGGCACCGGGCAGTACCACTCCGTAGCTCTTATCCTGCCACCTCAGCCACCTCATATGGATCTCCTTCTGGACCTGATACAAACAGACACACACCTATAGAATTAGGAATTAGAATACTAGAACGGACATGAACCTTCTTATGATGGGATAAAGGGCAGCCATTTTGGTCAGGGAGTTGGTCAACCATGGTTTGCCAGTGCTGTGATAAGATTTTGTGTAAAACAATGAATGTGAAGAATTGATCTGCACTGTATGTGTGTTAGCTAGCTAGCCAGACAGATTTAAAGGAATTATTCCATACATTTTTCAAATTAACTGCCAATATTCCATTCAAACAGTCAATCCACAGCCATACACTGGCTCAAATCAGTTGATGATAGGAGTTAGACAAGTTGGAAATGCAACAAGTACTGATGTTGTATCATATAATAGCACTCACAGATTTCCAAGAAAACAAAATCTAAAACATTTACCGTCTGTTTACATATATTTTAGAGGCTATTTGTACAGAAAATGTGTATAAAACCCATATAAACTGTACTTATAATTATATGACAAGTTAATTATAATTCCATTACACAATTTCTGATATAATCACATGCCTTACATTTATTGTCCTGCAGCAGTAAAAGCAGGAAATGCCTATGCCTCTACTGCCATTCAATCTAATTAGAATGGTTTGGGATTTCTCCTTGATCAAGATGGCTGCCATTTTCATCCCATTATGGAACTTTATGATATAGCCCCTCTAATAATTTAATAGGATCTAAATGCACACACCCAAAGACCTCAGATTACAGCACTACAGACATTGTAGGAGAGACTTAGATTACCACAGCCAGTTTCAGTGTTGTTGAAAATGAATGGATGGATGAATAAATTAATGAATTAACAAACAAATGAATTCAATTGATTGAATGATGAAACAAAGTCATCACTTATTGACTATTGTGTGTCTATTCACAGCAGCTCTGAGTTTCATTGCTGAATTACACTAGCTAGTCATTAAGAGGTGCAAATCTGCCAAAAAAAAACCAGCTGGGGACACATAAACTGATTTCTAAGCACTCAGTGTAAACACAGTAGGGATTCATATTTTCCCGAAAATCTACCAAGTTTCAATACCGGGAATAATGCTAATTGATCTCGAGAGTCCCGGGAAATACCCCAAAATCGGTTGTGCCCCATCTATAGCGTTTAAAACCAAGATGTGGTCACTATGGGTTCTCCCCAAATAAGAGGGGCGCTGCGCCACTATGTAAAGATTTCAGAGCAAATTAAACTGATAGTTACTCTGTCATTCATTACTAAATATCTTTGATAGCCAATGACATTGTTGTGAATTGCGAAACATGCTGTTCATAAATTCTACACGTTATCATCAGCAGTAGGCTATCTCCACACAGAGCACACCCCGAGTATAGCATTTTCGAATCATACAACATTTGTAATGGCAGTCAAACCAAAGTCAAATGACCAAAGTTGCTAAGCTTGCTAGATAACCTCCTTTAACGAATGACAGAATATCTCCTATATTTGGCAAAATCGAGTTGATGATTATACAGATAGCAGATCAGCTCATGAATAAAGGGGAGATGAAGGGTGGAAATAGTTTAAATATCAAGGTATCTTAATGGGGACCAACTCCATTTTAAAAATATGCATATCTACTCCCATACCGTTTGTTGATCAGACATTCTCTACCGAAGCTCTCATATGGGCAACAAGTGGGTGGGTGGGTGCTTACATTTGTCCAATTCACACATGTACATGTACTATGTGTGAATTGGACATTTGTTTTTTGCATATCCCACTCCCCCTGAGACACCCTCGGAGAGTGGGTTCACGGCATTATTGACGGTGACCCTGGAGCAATATTGTGAATTTTGTGGAATTGCATTGGTGCGACATTGGGGATTTTGTATTTATTTCCCAGGTCTTGTCATTAGATTATTTCGGGAAATGTGAAGAGTGTTCCAGAGACAGCCCCGGGATCCCGGTAACCCATGTTAATACCTAAAGCACTGTAGTGTAAATTGCTTTGGATACAGGCATCTGCTCAATGGCTTATATTACATTATTAGCTTATGATTTATATCAAAGCAATATTTAGAGAGCAGTATGGTTGGTGTTTCTTATAGTTGGAATGTTAGTGTAGGCTACTCACCTCTTGATTGAGAAAACAGTAGAGAATCGCTACAATCAGCCCCTAGAAGACAGAGAATATATAATCAATAACTATCAATATTCAAAACATTGAAGTACCCAGATGTTATCAACATTTAAGAGAAGTATAATTGTGAAGTATAATTGTGGCCAGTATAATTGTAAATAAAGCCATAAAAGGTATATGATATATTGCTGCACAGATTCAGCCATAGCATCGACAGCTGAACGACCGCAAATATGTATCTTGCTTGGTAATGAGCTCGCTGTAAGCCATGCTAGTGTTGAACTAGTTGATGAGACTGGTTGTATTCCCTATATAGTGCACTAGGGATCTGGTCAAAAGTAATGCACTATTTATTTTAAATGTACCTTTATTTAACTAGGCAAGTCAGTTAAGAACAAATTCTTATTTACAATGATGGCCTTATTTACGACGCTGGGCCAATTGTGCGCCGCCCTATGGGACTCCCAATCACAGCCGGTTGTGATACAGCCTGGAATTGAACCGGGGGGACTGTAGTGAAGCCTGTATTAGAGCTAATTTATGCTAGTTTATTCCTGTTTCTCATAGTTGCCTAATGGTTTCTTTTTCTATATTTGATAAGTATAATTTGTGTTTTTATCTGTTGTCTAGTACTGTCTTTTTGCTAGCTAGGGCCATCTAATTTAAGTGCTGCCTGTCTTCCCAGTAGCTTACTTGGTGTGTGAACTGCTGACTGCTCATAACTTGCAGATTAACATTGACACATCCACCAGGATCAACGTGCAGGGCAATTTGTGACTTGTTTTGGTAATCAGTGGCTTTATTGGAGGGGAATACATTCTCCTCTCCTAGACAATCATCAATTAGCACAGGGCGGTATCCTCTTTACCTCTGCTAGGCAATCAGCAATTATTGTTAGTTCTTCAGTCTCCCGTGGTTTCTCAGCGGCAGCTGTAAGTGGCAGTCGTGTCAGTCTCGTCGGCAAAACTAAGACCATCGCCAAAACAAAGACGGTTCTGCAGAGTTGTTGGAGGAAGGAAGGAGAGGAAGGCTCCACACCACTCTCTCACTCGAGTATCTTACCTAGTTATTCACAGATTCTCATTTTGCTCTTCTGCAGATGCTCTTATCTAGAGCGACTTACAGTAGTGAGTGCATCCATTTTTCGTACTGGTCCCCCGTGGGAATTGAACCCACAACCCTGGCATTGCAAGTGCCATGCTCTACCAACTGAGCCACACGGGAGCCCTCTACTCTTTATACACCAAGTCACTCGGCTCCGTCATATCCTCACATGGTCTCTCCCATCATTGCTATGCAGTTGAAACTCAACTACCCCCCCCCCCCCCCCCCCCCCCCCCCATCTCTGCATTCCTGGCAGATATTTCAGTTTAGATGTTGGCCTACCACCTTAACTTCGACAAGACGGAGCGGCTCTTCCTCCCGGGGAAGGCCTGCCCACTCAAAGACCTCTCCAACACGGTTGACAACTCCAGTGTCGCCCTCCCAGAGTGCAAAGAACCTTGGCGTGACTCTGGACAACACCCTGTCATTCTCTGCCAACATCAAAGCAGTGACTCGCTCCTGCAGGTTCATGCGCTACAACATCCGTGGAGTATGACCCTACCGCACACAGGAAGCGGCACAGGTACTAATCCAGGCACTTGACATCTCCTGTCTGGACTACTGCAACTTGCTGTTGGCTGGGCTCCCCGCTTGTGCAATCAAACCCCTGCAACTTATCCAGAAAGCTGCAGCCCGCCTGGTTTTCAACCTTCCACGTTTTCAACCTTCCCACGTTTTCCCATGGCACCCGCTCCTCCACACACTCCACTGGCTTCCAGTCAAACTTGCATCCACCACAAGACCATGGTGCTTGCCTACGGAGCAACAAGAGGAACTTCCCCTCTCTACCTTCAGGTTATGCTCAAAGCCTACACCCCAACCTGAGCACTCCGTTCTGAATCAGGGTTTGTTTTGGCAGCTGGAGTGAAAGAGGAGCGATTACGATAGAGGAAACCAAGTCTAGATTTAATCTTAGCCTGCAGCTTGGAGAAGGACAGTGTACCGTCTAGCCATACTCCGAAGTACTTGTGTGAGGTGACTACCTCAAGCTCTAAACCCTAAGAGGTAGTAATCACACCGGTGGGGAAAGAGGCATTCTTCTTACCAAACCACATGACCTTTGTTTTGGAGGTGTTCAGACCCTGTCCTCATGTGACCTCGGATAAAATATTGACAATCCAAATGTTTTTACGGAGCTGTCTGGTCCGCTAGCCCGGGCTGTCTCTGACTGTTAGAGAAGTGAATGAATAATTATTAATACAGTAGATACAGTGGGGAAAAAAAGTATTTAGTCAGCCACCAATTGTGCAAGTTCTCCCACTTAAAAAGATGAGAGAGGCCTGTAATTTTCATCATAGGTACACGTCAACTATGACAGACAAATTGAGAAAAAAATATCCAGAAAATCACATTGTAGGATTTTTAATGAATTTATTTGCAAATTATGGTGGAAAATAAGTATTTGGTCACCTACAAACAAGCACGATTTCTGTCTCTCACAGACCTGTAACTTCTTCTTTAAGAGGCTCCTCTGTCCTCCACTCGTTACCTGTATTAATGGCACCTGTTTGAACTTGTTATCAGTATAAAACACACCTGTCCACAACCTCAAACAGTCACACTCCAAACTCCACTATGGCCAAGACCAAATAGCTGTCAAAGGACACCAGAAACAAAATTGTAGACCTGCACCAGGCTGGGAAGACTGAATCTGCAATAGGTAAGCAGCTTGGTTTGAAGAAATCAACTGTGGGAGCAATTATTAGGAAATGGAAGACATACAAGACCACTGATAATCTCCCTCGATCTGGGGCTCCACGCAAGATCTCACCCCGTGGGGTCAAAATGATCACAAGAACGGTGAGCAAAAATCCCAGAACCACACAGGGGGACCTAGTGAATGACCTGCAGAGAGCTGGGACCAAAGTAACAAAGCCTACCATCAGTAACACACTACGCCGCCAGGGACTCAAATCCTGCAGTGCCATACGTGTCCCCCTGCTTAAGCCAGTACATGTCCAGGCCCGTCTGAAGTTTGCTAGAGTGCATTTGGATGATCCAGAAGAGGATTGGGAGAATGTCATATGGTCAGATGAAACCAAAATATAACTTTTTGGTAAAAACTCAACTCGTCGTGTTTGGAGGACAAAGAATGCTGAGTTGCATCCAAAGAACACCATACCTACTGTGAAGCATGGGGGTGGAAACATCATGCTTTGGGGCTGTTTTTCTGCAAAGGGACCAGGACGACTGATCCATGTAAAGGAAAGAATGAATGGGGCCATGTATCGTGAGATTTTGAGTGAAAACCTCCTTCCATCAGCAAGGGCATTGAAGATGAAACGTGGCTGGGTCTTTCAGCATGACAATGATCTCAAACACACCGCCCGGGCAACGAAGGAGTGGCTTCCTAAGATGCATTTCAAGGTCCTGGAGTGGCCTAGCCAGTCTCCAGATCTCAACCCCATAGAACATCTTTGGAGGGAGTTGAAAGTCCGTGTTGCCCAGCGACAGCCCCAAAACATCACTGCTCTAGAGGAGATCTGCATGGAGGAATGGGCCAAAATACCAGCAACAGTGTGTGAAAACCTTGTGAAGACTTACAGAAAACGTTTGACCTGTGTCATTGCCAACAAAGGGTATATAACAAAGTATTGAGAAACTTTTGTTATTGACCAAATACTTATTTTCCACCATAATTTGCAAATAAATTCATAAAAAACCCTACAATGTGATTTTCTGGATTTTTTTTCCTAATTTTGTCTGTCATAGTTGACGTGTACCTATGATGAAAATTACAGGCCTCTCTCATCTTTTTAAGTGGGAGAACTTGCACAAATGGTGGCTGACTAAATACTTTTCCCCCCCACTGTAACTCCGTGATGGATCAGTCTGGAAACCATTAGAAACCTCTGCCTGGTAACACTCAGGCCAGCCAAATCTCCCTCTGTCAAGCACTTGATCTTACAGAAGGAGAGGAGCATTCGAGAGGGGCATGATTGGGAAGAGAAAGTTATTATATTCCAGCCCTAGATAGCTTGAAAACATTTTGGGGGATGTTATCCAATTTTTTATTTGTTCCGATTTTTTTTAACAATATGTAAAAGGCCAAATGACAGAAACTAGATTACATGATTACAACTTTAAAAAGTTGTTAATGTAATTATCTGCTCAATTTTTCATATTTGGATGACTTTGTTTTACAGGCTGTAAAAGTGCTATCCATCCCAGGAATAATTTACGTAAATGCAATGTATATACAGTACCAGTTAAAAGTTTGGACACACCTACTCATTCCAGGGTTTTTCTTTATTTTTACTATTTTCTACATTGTAGAATAATAGTGAAGACATCAAAACTATGAAATAACACATATGGAATCATGTAGTAACCAAAGAAGTGTTAAACAAATCAAGATATATATTTTATTTTTGAGATTCTTCAAATAGCCACCCTTTGCCTTGATGACAGCTTTGCACACTCTTGGCATTCTCTCAACCAGCTTCACCTGGAATGCTTTTCCAACAGTCTTGAAGGAGTTCCCACATATGCTGAGCACTTGTTGGCTGCTTTTCCTTCACTCTGCGGTCCGACTCATCCCAAACCATCTCAATTGGGTTGAGGTCGGGTGATTGTTGTTGCATATTTAGATATCCCCTCTTTCTACATTTCAAATGGATATTTTCATCTCTGTCACATGAAATCACTCACAATGTTTTCCACTAATTGCATTATGGAATGAACATTTGTGCATAGCCTACTGCCTTGTGCCCAATGTGAAGAAATAATAGTTTATCAACATTTTAAGCTAAACGTTCTGATCTGTTGCATGAGCCTTTTTGGATGTGGCCTAGGCTTACTGGTTGTATGCATTTGGGATCTATCCTCCCACAACTGTCCCAGAGTCTGTTTAGAATAGGCAATTTTCTTCTCGAACAGAACGAACGACAAGCTGACCAAAAGAATAGGTAAACTTTTATACTATGGGGAATAGTAGATTGACATATGCTAGTGATTTTGCTGTTCATTACTCATCTTGTTGGCTGAGGAAAAGTACATGTGGATAGTTATTATAGGCTGCTCGTGGGTTTCAAGTTTGGGGAAACTAATTTTCACCATAGAAATGCACCTTCCTAATAAAGCAGTTCATCTATCCTCGCATTTGCAGACTTATGTAAAATAATTCCTAATGTGATGATTAGATTGGATAGTCAAACATCAATCAATCAAATGTATTTATAAAGCCCTTTTTACATTAGCAGATGTCACAAAGTGCTATACAGAAACCCAGCCTAAAACCCCAAACAGCAAGCAATGCAGATGTAAAAGCACAGTGGCTAGGAAAACTCCCTAGAAAGGCAGGAACCTAGGAAGAAACCTAGAGAGGTGGCCAGTCCTCTTTTGGCTGTGCCTGTGTAGATTAAGAGTACATGGCCATTTAAGTCCAGATAGTCATAATTTAGGCTAATAATATAACTCAATTACTGTTTGCAAAAAGAATACTTAAATGCAACATGTATGGACGTAGACTAGACCTATAGGGTATAGGAAAATGTTGGCCTTTCATAAACACATTTCATGAAATTCTACTACATTTTATATGACTGGAGACGTTAGCAGACTACAAAACGGGTAGACACAAATACAATATGATGTCCACCTAACCTGGAGGAGGAAATTATTGTCCAAAAACAAACAAAAGTGGCACTGATCCAATGATAAAGACAGTGAATATGCACAATCACCGGGGGCATGGCCGATGTTCTCCGTGGGTGCCAATAAGATAGGCTACTTTTCGCTCAATTAAGTTGAGAATTTTGATCATTAAAAGACAGATTGGAGTCTTTTCGTTGTCTTTTATTTACAGCAATAGCCATTTCGCTTTCCAAACGGTTTTTCTATTTGGTATTTGCCGAGCGCTCTGGCCAAAATGCATGCCCTTCCGACTGTAGGCTATGCGATTTAAAACAATCTACAGCTTTGTTTTTTAAGAAGCTAATGATCCTCTGTGGCTAAATCATGCTTTCTGGTGTAGTAGCCTATTTTGAATGATTATATTTATTTATGTATAGAGAGGAGTAAGCTATTTAGGCTACATAATTTCGGCAATTTAATTCAATTTACTTTTGGGAACGTTTAGCTTCCCTAACCTTATGGACGCCCCGCCTATTTATTCTAACGTCTTCAAATTGCTCATCGGAATTCGGTAAGAATGACGCACGCCGTTGCATTTGCATTGCATGTTGTGTTAAGATTAATTTCCATAAAGTAAATGTGATTTGTGGATGCTCTAACCAGGTTGCGCAACCATAGCATATGGATCCGGTACATTTCTTAAATGACCGGTAAATTAAAATGCTGCGGGTCAAGCGTCCGGCACCAAATTTTCGTAACGGAAACCCTGGTGTGTGTGTGTGTGTGTGTGTGTGTGTGTAGGCCAAGCATGTGAGTGTGTGTAAGAGGATCAAGAGTACCTGAAAGGAGCCCATGCAGAGCTCGATCCAGAGGCGCATGCTAACACTGAAGTAGTCAGGTAGGAAGTTAAACACCATGTAGGGGGTCCCGAAGAGGGGGATGAGGAGGAGGGTTGATTTAGTCAGCCGTCTAGCAGAGAGGAGGGAAGAGAGAATACGTTTGAGTAATATGCTCTGGGGGTGTTTATGTTTACATGTTTATCAAATCAAATGTTTTGGTCGCATACACATACATTTATTTAGCAGATGTTATTGCGGGTGTAGCGAAATGCCTGTGAAATGTTGGTGTATATGTGATTGTGTACAATAATGCATTTCAAAGTAATTTACGAGTGGGAGAATACTGGTATCATATATTATATTATGGGTATTCATGTCTTTTTTTTTTTTTTACAGTCTACTTCACTGACCTTTGCTGATAATATAATAGCACCTACATATGCATGAAGGCTTTCAGGGCTCTAGTTAATTATTATGCACTCCCCTCCAATAAGGTATTCATCTGCTAAGCCTCTTGAGGGGTGAAGTGGTGTAGGTTCCTGGTCAGACACACTGCAGTGACTCAGTGGTGGGTGAAGTGGTGAAGGTTCCTGGTCAGACACACTGCAGTGACTCAGTGGTGGGTGAAGTGGTGAAGGTTCCTGGTCAGACACACTGCAGTGACTCAGTGGTGGGTGATGTGGTGAAGGTTCCTGGTCAGACACACTGCAGTGACTCAGTGGTGGGTGAAGTGGTGAAGGTTCCTGGTCAGACACACTGCAGTGACTCAGTGGTGGGTGAAGTGGTGAAGGTTCCTGGTCAGACACACTGCAGTGACTCAGTGGTGGGTGATGTGGTGAAGGTTCCTGGTCAGACACACTGCAGTGACTCAGTGGTGGGTGATGTGGTGAAGGTTCCTGGTCAGACACACTGCAGTGACTCAGTGGTGGGTGATGTGGTGAAGGTTCCTGGTGAGACACACTGCAGTGACACAGTGGTGGGTGATGTGGTGAAGGTTCCTGGTCAGACACACTGCAGTGACTCAGTGGTGGGTGATGTGGTGAAGGTTCCTGGTCAGACACACTGCAGTGACTCAGTGGTGGGTGATATGGTGAAGGTTCCTGGTCAGACACACTGCAGTGACTCAGTGGTGGGTGATGTGGTGAAGGTTCCTGGTCAGACACACTGCAGTGACTCAGTGGTGGGTGATATGGTGTAGGTTCCTGGTCAGACACACTGCAGTGACTCAGTGGTGGGTGAAGTGGTGTAGGTTCCTGGTCAGACATTGGGTGAATCAGACCTTTCCCACATAGGATGAATTCATTACGAAAACATGTTCCCTTCCTTCAGCCCTTGACTACTCTCCTTCCTGGATATCAAGGGACTGGATAGGTAAGTAATAGGTAGATTTTCTGCCATTGTTTTCACCTATTAAACCAGTGCTCTCAAATCTGCGAGGGAAAGTTATCAAGGTGGTGCAATGTGAATGAGTAATAGAAGTGAAATCCAGCCATGATTACAGAAGGTAGCAGACAGACATTCACATGAAATTAACTATAGGAATTGATATTAACGGAACATAATTAACTTAAATGAACTGAAAATGTACTTAAATTAACTGAAATCAAATTAACTCCAGTTCAAAGTTTGATGCAGTTTTTCCGGTATACAAAGCCTCTGAGCCAATCAATCTGCAACAGAGCTCTTCATAAGAGGCCTGTTTCTGAACTCCCTAAAAGCGCCCCTAGAATAGGCCTAATGGTGTACATGAAAAGTGCTTTTGCATTACAATTCGTACACTTTGTTCTCTCTCTAATGTACTGCTGAAATGTACTACATTTAACCGGCGCAATGCAGCAGCCTAGCAACTGAGTAGACCGTTCCCTTCAGTAACCTCTAAATGGACTGGACTTCAGAGACCCTAGAATGTGCTTGAGCAACAAACTTTATTACCTACTTCTGCATTGCATAAGGTACTCAGAATACTCAGTCAGTCATAGTGATTATGATTATTATCTCTTTCCTCAAAATGGAGACTAGAAAAGTTGGCTTCATTCAGATCTCCCATTGATCGATAGTACAGTAGATATAATCTAGATTGTATCCTATAATTGCCTCCCCCTGTCTTTTCGAGGCAGATAACTTCCCATTGGAATTGCCCAATCAAATAATCTCTCCACTAGGATACCCAACTTCTTATCCAATCATATCGCTCCTTTCTTGTATCATCCTATGAAAAGACCCCTCACCTGTAGTGGTCTGAGTTATTGAACTGGATCAGACGAGGGTTCAGTTTCTGTATCAGGATTCTGATGATGTTCATAAAGAGGATGAAATTGACCTGTTGATAAAAATAATTTCATACAAATCGTGTCAATCATTTTATAAAGCCCTTTTTTAAATCAGCAGTGTCTCAAAATGGTTTACAGTAACACAACATGAGTACAGCTATAGAAAAACTAGGAAACAATATTCCCAAGGGGATTAAATAAAGTAAACTAAACAAACAAACAATATTCCTCCTTTGCTTGGTTGCAACATGCATTGCCATGGCAACAGGAAAACCACACTCTGTATTTGGCTTTGTATGGATTCAAGACAATTTTCCCTTCCTAGAATCGACAGAGATCATTGGAGAAATATCAGAATAGAGCATCAACTTTCTTTAAAAGTAGGCAAAAAAACAATCACAAGTTCCCTGTCACATAAGTAAGGGATAAGGCTATGCGTTCTATGGAAAATAATGAATGACATGGAAGGTGTGTTCCACGACACGCCAGCTGAGTGGAACCATGGATATAACGAGACAGATATTTCACCGGATGTATAAATGTGAAGCATCCGCTTGGCGTTTCCACTCACTACCAAATATGGTAGTGAGTGGAAACCCACTGGCCGGCAGTGGGAGAAGATGGAATGAGATGGATTTTGGCCGACATTCTGCACATTTTCTCATCAATGAAACATTTGATCTCAATGCAGTTTTCTGTTCCCCAAACTAGAATCTTATGAACAGAGTGGACTAAGTTTTGTAGACTTTACCCTTTGGACTCTGCCCACCTCCTTGCTTGTTCTGCCCACTATGACTCATTTGTTCCCATTGGAAACGACAGGCTGTGGGCTCTTGGTTTAGTTATAGAAATCTTTGGTGAAAATAACCTTCCACAGAGTTGAATTAGTTTTCAGAGAACACAAAGCCCGAGTAGATTATCCCCTTTATTCCATGGCAATAATTTACACATTTGCTGCTAAAAATGTGTTCATTTGCAGGGAGGAATGTGTTCAACATGCACTGAAGTAGGCATCAATTTTACTAGAGAGCTACTGTAGTTGCCTTGGTAACCAAACAAACAGAGTTGCCAGTTTTTAGCTAACCAAACAATCAGTCCTAGCTTGCTATTATGGAAATCTAATTCAACAATGCCAGTACTGTTTTCAATTCGACTTTTGCTTTCAAAACCTGCAAGAATGAATGTAAGAATGAACTATAGCCATTGAATTCTACCGTGCTGACATACTGTACCATGCATTATAGGGAATTAAAAACTGGTTGGTTCGAGCCCTGAATGCTGATTGGCTGACAGCCGTGGTATATTGGCCATATACCAAACCCCCTCGGGCCTTATTGCTGAGTTCTAAAACTGGTTGTTTGGATCCTGGATGCTGATTGGACGAGCAGCGTTCGAAGCTGTGCTGTATTGACCGTCACACACACCTATGCCTGCTAACAGTTTCATCTGAAAATTATTACTGCACCTCCATAAGAATATTATGTTCATGTTGCTGTCTGAATCATCTCTTGTATTTATCTCAACTCACATTATTTCCCGTTGCTTCCATTCTAGCATTTAGTTTGGGACAGCAGGGGTTAATATAAGCTTGCTGTCTGCCTATCTGGAAACGTTTCACTTTTGAATTTCGTTCTCTTTAGTACCATACATAGAGTGAACGGGAACTTTTTCTGAGCCAGTCGAAATTATGCCTGAACTACGTTATCATGGGACATGTCCAAGAAAATGGCCATAGAAAAAATGCTCAAACAAATGAAAATGCAGCTAGTGTACTGTCATTCCAGGTTCAATGTTTGAAGTGAATGAGTTAGCTGAAGTTGGCTAGTTAGCTAGCAAGTGACAAGAACGTTATCCAGCCTGCGTAGCAACCATTTTGTTTAGAATGGACGACCAGTCTTTTGCATAGTAACTATGCAAAAATAATTAATGACTGGGTCTCTAGCAACATGACCAAAAGAACTAACAACAAGGTTTTTGTCCAGACTACATCTTCTGGTGGAAGAATGAAATTGAATGAATTGATTTATTAAAATAAAACATGAATGAAAATATGTAATTTATTGTTATTTGAATATGTTGGTAACAGTTTTATAAAAGCAATAAGGCATGCGAGGCAGTGCTGTCTCATGAATACAGTCACTGATACAGCACTGCCTCGCGTGCCTTATTGCTTAAAGTGGAACTGACAGCGTTTTAGCAACGTGAAGCCAGACTGCAACATTTTAGTGTCTGTACACTTTGTACATGTGTCTGTCCTTCCGCTGTGCGCTGTGAACTGGACACACAAAAGCAACGCAATTGTCCTCCCGAGTGGCGCAGTGGTTTAAGGCACTGCATCGCAGTGCTAGCTGTGCCACTAGAGATCCTGGTTCGAATCCAGGCTCTGTCGTAGCCGGCCGCGACCGGGAGACCCATGGGGCGGCGCACAATTGGCCCAGGGTAGGGGAGGGAATGGCTGGCAGGGATGTAGCTCAGTTGGTAGAGCATGGCGTTTGCAACGCCAGGGTTGTGGGTTCGCTTCCCACGGGGGGTATAAAAAATTATGTATGCACTAACTGTAAGTCGCTCTGGATAAGAGCATCTGCTAAATGACTAAAATGTAAGTTGAATTCACTGATGCAAGCACATCAGGCTGTAATTAGTAGATGACTCATTTATACTCGCTTGTGTGTCCTATTTGGCCCGCAGGCCTTGTTTGACAGAGTCGTGATCATTGGCCTTGCTAGTTTGATTATATTGACATTCCTAGCCTTAGTTACAGTCGTCTGTTTTTGTTCAAAATATTGAGTCAGTGAAATTGAAACAGTGCGTCCCGAATGTGTGGAGGCAGCAAAACAATGTACCAGGCCAGCTGGGATTTACAACAATGTCTTACTGTATGTCATGGAATTTTGAGTCAAATATAACTTTTTTTTTAAACCCCCTTTATAACATTGGTTTTGAAGCATAAACTGGGAATTAGATATTTTGGACTGATATTATGATTGTCTCTTTGTTTCATATCTGCAAAGTAGTTAAAATGCTGTAAGTTCCACTTTAAATGGGCTCCCGAGTGGCGCAGTGGTCTAAGGCACTGCATCTCAGTGCTTGAGGCGTCACTACAGACCCCCTGGTTCAATTCCAGGCTGTATCACAACCGGCCGTGATTGGGAGTCCCATAGGGCGGCACACAATTGGCCCAGCGTCGTCCGGTGTAGGTCGTTATTGTAAATAAGAATTTGTTCTTAACTGACTTGCCTAGTTAAATAAAGATTTTAAAAAATAATGCACACTCTAGAATGCCATTCAAGCCCATCAGAAATGAGTATTGAACAATGCCATGATATGCTTGACCTATAATCAGTAGGTATGTCCCTTTTAAGATATAATGACACGTGTATGACTGCACCTCTATAGGGTCTACTCACCCCGATAGAAACAACAATTGGCCCTTTTACGATCCACCAATAGGGGGAGTCCTCATTGATGTCCCAGCATCTATAGGAGGAGAGGCGAACGATCGGTCAGACTAAACAGACAGTACAGTACGTAAAGGCCCTTCAGCTATTTCAGTCTCTGGTGGGAGTAAGACCAACTAGAGCCTTTCTCTGTGAATATTATAGTTACATGTAAACACTGACTATACAACCCTACTGAGAATAGCGAGTACCAAATCACAAACCATTTTCTAGAGGAAAGGAAATGGCCTCAACTGAGGACAGTACACGATTAGGGTTATCAGGTATACAGTACTTTGAGAGAATAATGCTCACTCAGTATCTTCAAAATACACCCTGGACCCAATCCATATGACTGTGAAGACGATGGGTACACCTGAAAATTAAGGCAAAGAATCAAGGATAAACTTGAAAAGTAAAATGTTAATGTAAAGTGTTAATGTTAATGTAATGAGTGTAGAGGCAAATGATAAATGTAAAGTTTGTGAAGACGAAAGAAGGAACTTGTTATACTGGTTAGTTTAAAGGCATGTGCTGTTTGGCTGAACATGAGAGACATACAGTAATTATACAAAATAAGTACATTTTGGAGTAGTCAGCGGGATGTAGCAATTATATGCTGAGATGTAGCACTTACTGAGTAATTATGGAGAATTTAGAGCTCAGTACTACTTTCAGTAGCTGCACAGGTTTTACCAGAACTTCCCTGTAATCTACTCCCTGTTCTGCTTCAATTAAATACACCTGAATGTCTAAGGACCAAGAATTGAAATAGCAAAAGTAATGTATTTAAGCATTTCATTAACTGAGTGGAAAACACCTGCTGTTAACATCTCAGTAGAATGTGCATCATGATCAGATTGGGGGAGAAATGGCAGCAGAACAATTAATTAGCAATTTCTTGATTCATATGCAAATCAACGAGCCACATCGAAAAACTCAAATTTATCTCAGACGATTAATAATAATAACTATATGCAACACTAGACAGCATGAAAGACTAAAAGTCACATAAGGGAAAAAATATTATTAACATCTTAATCCAATCCAAAATACCAGTGGGAATTGTCACGGGCCACTAAGTTTAACTTAACTAAAGTTCAGTCCTCTCTATCTACAGAGAGTTATTTGTGCCATTTAAAAATAATGAGCAAGCGATGTTTTGCACAGTTGTTTGACCTTGAGTTCATTTCAATTCATTCTAAAAACGCGTAGTGGAATGAATATCAAACCGTATTTGAATCGTTACACACCACGAACTGAAGCTGCATAAACAAATGGCTCTTTCATGAACCAAAGGAATTACTACAGACAGACAGAGAGTCGGGAGCGAGGTGGAAAGTGCTCACCCCAGCCCAGCAGGCCAAAGCCCCAGAGGCAGCGGTGGTAGTGGTGGAAGGAGGAGAGAAGCAGTGAGTTGAGGTAGAGGGCCTCAACCAGGAGCCAGAAGAAGTTAGTCATGACACAGTAGTGACAGAAGGCTACCGATGCCTTACAGGCTGCCTGGAGAGAGGGGGGAAAACAGGGAAGAGGGGATGAGAGAGAGAGAAAGAGAGGCACAGAGGAAGAGGGGAAGATTGAGAAAGCGAGAGAGGTAAGAGTAGTGCGAAGTAGAGACGTTGCAGTGGTTGATTTACGGTTGATAGGGTGCAGTGGTTGATTTACGGTTGAGAGGGTGCAGTGGTTGATTTACAGTTGACAGGGTGCAGTGGTTTATTTACGGTTGATAGGGTGCAGTGGTTGATTTACGGTTGAGAGGGTGCAGTGGTTGATTTACAGTTGACAGGGTGCAGTGGTTGATTTACGGTTGAGAGGGTGCAGTGGTTGATTTACGGTTGAGAGGGTGCAGTGGTTGTTTTACAGTTAACAGGGTGCAGTGGTTGATTTACGGTTGACAGGGTGCAGTGGTTGATTTACGGTTGACAGGGTGCAGTGGTTGATTTATAGTTGACAGGGTGCAGTGGTTGATTTACAGTTGACAGGGTGCAGTGGTTGATTTAGAGTTGACAGGGTGCAGTGGTTGATTTACGGTTGACAGGAAGCAGTGGTTGATTTACGGTTGACAGGGTGCAGTGGTTGATTTACGGTTGATAGGGTGCAGTGGTTGATTTACGGTTGAGAGGGTGCAGTGGTTGATTTACGGTTGACAGGGTGCAGTGGTTGATTTACGGTTGACAGGGTGCAGTGGTTGATTTACGGTTGAGAGGATGCAGTGGTTGATTTACGGTTGACAGGGTGCAGTGCTTGATTTACGGTTGACAGGGTGCAGTGGTTGATTTACGGTTGAGAGGGTGCAGTGGTTAATTTACGGTTGACAGGGTACAGTGGTTGATTTACGGTTGACAGGGTGCAGTGGTTGATTTACGGTTGAGAGGGTGCAGTGGTTGATTTACGGTTGACAGGGTGCAGTGGTTGGTTGATTTACGGTTGAGAGGGTGCAGTGGTTGATTTACGGTTGAGAGGGTGCAGTGGTTGATTTACAGTTGACAGGGTGAAGTGGTTGATTTACGGTTGATAGGATGCAGTGGTTGATTTACAGTTGACAGGGTGCAGTGGTTGATTTAGAGTTGACAGGGTGCAGTGGTTGATTTACGGTTGACAGGGTGCAGTGGTTGATTTACGGTTGACAGGGTGCAGTGGTTGATTTACGGTTGATAGGGTGCAGTGGTTGATTTACGGTTGAGAGGGTGCAGTGGTTGATTTACGGTTGACAGGGTGCAGTGGTTGATTTACGGTTGACAGGGTGCAGTGGTTGATATACGGTTGACAGGATGCAGTGGTTGATTTACGGTTGACAGGGTGCAGTGCTTGATTTACGGTTGACAGGGTGCAGTGGTTGATTTACGGTTGAGAGGGTGCAGTGGTTGATTTACGGTTGACAGGGTGCAGTGGTTGATTTACGGTTGACAGAGGCAGTGGTTGATTTACGGTTGATAGGGTGCAGTGGTTGATTTACGGTTGAGAGGGTGCAGTGGTTGATTTACGGTTGACAGGGTGCAGTGGTTGATTTACGGTTGACAGGGTGCAGTGGTTGATATACGGTTGACAGGATGCAGTGGTTGATTTACGGTTGACAGGGTGCAGTGCTTGATTTACGGTTGACAGGGTGCAGTGGTTGATTTACGGTTGAGAGGGTGCAGTGGTTGATTTACGGTTGACAGGGTGCAGTGGTTGATTTACGGTTGACAGGGTGCAGTGGTTGATTTACGGTTGAGAGGGTGCAGTGGTTGATTTACGGTTGACAGGGTGCAGTGGTTGGTTGATTTACGGTTGAGAGGGTGCAGTGGTTGATTTACGGGTGAGAGGGTGCAGGGTTTGATTTACGGTTGACAGGGTGCAGGTGGTTGAATTACGGTTGATAGGGTGCAGTGGTTGATTAAACGGTTGGGCAGGGTGTAGTGGTTGTTTTACATGGTTGACCAGGTGCAAGTGGTTGATTTACGGTTGACAGGATGCAGTGGTTGATGTACGGTTTGACAGGGTGCAGTGGTTGATTTACTGTTGACAGGGTGCAGTGGTTGATTTACGGTTGACAGGGTTGCAGGTGGTGATTACTGGTTGAGAGAGGGTTTGGCAGTTGAGTTGATTTACGGTTGACAGGGTTGCAGTGGTTTGATTTACGGTTGACAGGGGTGTCAGTGGTTGATTTACGGGTTGAAGGGGTGCAGTTGGTTGATTTACGGTTGACAGGGTGCAGTGGTTGGTGATTTACGGTTTGAGACAGGGTGGGCCAGTGGTTGATTTACGGTTGAGAGGTGCAGTGAGGGTTGATTTACGGTTTGACAGGGGGGTGCAGTGGTTGTTGATTTACGGTTTGAGAGGTTGGCAGTGGTTTTGATTTACGGTTGACAGGGTGGTTGGTTTGATTTACGGTTGAGAGGGTGCAGTGGTTGATTTACGGTTGAGAGGGTGCAGTGGTTGATTTACGGTTGACAGGGTGCAGTGGTTGAATTACGGTTGATAGGGTGCAGTGGTTGATTTAACGGTTGGCAGGGTGTAGTGGTTGTTTTATGGTTGACAGGGTGCAGTGGTTGATTTACGGTTGACAGGATGCAGTGGTTGAATGTACGTTGACAGGGTGCAGTGGTTGATTTACTGTTGACAGGGTGGCAGTGGTTGATTTACGGTTGAGAGGGTGCAGTGGTTGATTTACTGTTGACAGGGTGCAGTGGTTGATTTACGGTTGACAGGGTGCAGTGGTTGATTTACGGTTGACAGGATGCAGTGGTTGATTTACGGTTGAGAGGGTGCAGTGGTTGATTTACGGTTGACAGGGTGCAGTGGTTGATTTACGGTTGAGAGGGTGCAGTGGTTGATTTACGGTTGACAGGGTGCAGTGGTTGGTTGATTTACGGTTGAGAGGGTGCAGTGGTTGATTTACGGTTGACAGGATGCAGTGGTTGATTTACGGTTGACAGGATGCAGTGGTTGATTTACGGTGGAGAGGGTGCAGTGGTTGATTTACGGTTGACAGGGTGCAGTGGTTGATTTACGGTTGACAGGGTGCAGTGGTTGATTTACGGTTGACAGGGTACAGTGGTTGGTTGATTTACGGTTGAGAGGGTGCAGTGGTTGATTTACAGTTGAGAGGGTGCAGTGGTTGATTTACGGTTGATAGGGTGCAGTGGTTGATTTACGGTTAACAGGGTGTAGTGGTTGATTTACGGTTGATAGGGTGCAGTGGTTGATTTACGGTTGAGAGGGTGCAGTGGTTGTTTTACAGTTAACAGGGTGCAGTGGTTGATTTACGGTTGACAGGGTGCAGTGGTTGATTTACGGTTGACAGGGTGCAGTGGTTGATTTACAGTTGACAGGGTGCAGTGGTTGATTTACAGTTGACAGGGTGCAGTGGTTGATTTAGAGTTGACAGGGTGCAGTGGTTGATTTACGGTTGACAGGGTGCAGTGGTTGATTTACGGTTGACAGGGTGCAGTGGTTGATTTACGGTTGATAGGGTGCAGTGGTTGATTTACGGTTGAGAGGGTGCAGTGGTTGATTTACGGTTGACAGGGTGCAGTGGTTGATTTACGGTTGACAGGGTGCAGTGGTTGATTTACGGTTGACAGGATGCAGTGGTTGATTTACGGTTGACAGGGTGCAGTGCTTGATTTACGGTTGACAGGGTGCAGTGGTTTATTTACGGTTGAGAGGGTGCAGTGGTTAATTTACGGTTGACAGGGTGCAGTGGTTGATTTACGGTTGACAGGGTGCAGTGGTTGATTTACGGTTGAGAGGGTGCAGTGGTTGATTTACGGTTGACAGGGTGCAGTGGTTGGTTGATTTACGGTTGAGAGGGTGCAGTGGTTGATTTACGGTTGAGAGGGTGCAGTGGTTGATTTACAGTTGACAGGGTGAAGTGGTTGATTTACGGTTGATAGGATGCAGTGGTTGATTTACGGTTGAGAGGGTGCAGTGGTTGTTTTACAGTTAACAGGGTGCAGTGGTTGATTTACGGTTGACAGGGTGCAGTGGTTGATTTACGGTTGACAGGGTGCAGTGGTTGATTTACGGTTGACAGGGTGCAGTGGTTGATTTACGGTTGACAGGATGCAGTGGTTGATTTACGGTTGACAGGGTGCAGTGCTTGATTTACGGTTGACAGGGTGCAGTGGTTGATTTACGGTTGAGAGGGTGCAGTGGTTGATTTACGGTTGACAGGGTGCAGTGGTTGATTTACGGTTGACAGGGTTCAGTGGTTGATTTACGGTTGAGAGGGTGCAGTGGTTGATTTATGGTTGACAGGGTGCAGTGGTTGGTTGATTTACGGTTGAGAGGGTGCAGTGGTTGATTTACGGCTGAGAGGGTGCAGTGGTTGATATACGGTTGACAGGGTGCAGTGGTTGAATTACGGTTGATAGGGTGCAGTGGTTGATTTACGGTTGGCAGGGTGTAGTGGTTGTTTTATGGTTGACAGGGTGCAGTGGTTGATTTACGGTTGACAGGATGCAGTGGTTGATGTACGGTTGACAGGGTGCAGTGGTTGATTTACTGTTGACAGGGTGCAGTGGTTGATTTACGGTTGAGAGGGTGCAGTGGTTGATTTACTGTTGACAGGGTGCAGTGGTTGATTTACGGTTGACAGGGTGCAGTGGTTGATTTACGGTTGACAGGATGCAGTGGTTGATTTACGGTTGAGAGGGTGCAGTGGTTGATTTACGGTTGACAGGGTGCAGTGGTTGATTTACGGTTGACAGGGTGCAGTGGTTGATTTACGGTTGAGAGGGTGCAGTGGTTGATTTACGGTTGACAGGGTGCAGTGGTTGGTTGATTTACGGTTGAGAGGGTGCAGTGGTTGATTTACGGTTGAGAGGGTGCAGTGGTTGATTTACGGTTGACAGGGTGCAGTGGTTGAATTACGGTTGATAGGGTGCAGTGGTTGATTTACGGTTGGCAGGGTGTAGTGGTTGTTTTATGGTTGACAGGGTGCAGTGGTTGATTTACGGTTGACAGGATGCAGTGGTTGATGTACGGTTGACAGGGTGCAGTGGTTGATTTACTGTTGACAGGGTGCAGTGGTTGATTTACGGTTGAGAGGGTGCAGTGGTTGATTTACTGTTGACAGGGTGCAGTGGTTGATTTACGGTTGACAGGGTGCAGTGGTTGATTTACGGTTGACAGGATGCAGTGGTTGATTTACGGTTGAGAGGGTGCAGTGGTTGATTTACGGTTGACAGGGTGCAGTGGTTGATTTACGGTTGACAGGGTGCAGTGGTTGATTTACGGTTGAGAGGGTGCAGTGGTTGATTTACGGTTGACAGGGTGCAGTGGTTGGTTGATTTACGGTTGAGAGGGTGCAGTGGTTGATTTACGGTTGACAGGGTGCAGTGTTTGATTTACGGTTGACAGGATGCAGTGGTTGATTTACGGTGGAGAGGGTGCAGTGGTTGCTTTACGGTTGAGAGGGTGCAGTGGTTGATTTACGGTTGACAGGGTGCAGTGGTTGATTTACGGTTGACAGGGTGCAGTGGTTGGTTGATTTACGGTTGAGAGGGTGCAGTGGTTGATTTACGGTTGAGAGGGTGCAGTGGTTGATTTACGGTTGATAGGGTGCAGTGGTTGATTTACGGTTAACAGGGTGTAGTGGTTGTTTTATGGTTGACAGGGTGCAGTGGTTGATTTACGGTTGAGAGGGTGCAGTGGTTGACTTACAGTTGAGAGGGTGCAGTGGTTGACTTACGGTTTATTTACGGTGGAGAGGGTGCAGTGGTCTCTGTGCAGTTGACTTACGGTGGAGAAGGTGCAGTGGTTGGTGTCGTCGCTGGCGAAGAGTATGGCGTCCTTGATAAACACAGCCACCGACTTTAGCATGAAGGTGACAAACAGCTGGATGTGAATGTAGTTCCTGGCACAGTGAAGCCTCCTGTGAAGAACCACAAAACACGGTCAGGACCTGGGACCGCAGAGCAAACACATAGCATGGTCAGGACCGAGAACCGCAGGGCAAACACATAGCATGGTCAGGACGAGAACCGCAGGGCAAACACATAGCATGGTCAGGACGAGAACTGCAGGGCAAACACATAGCATGGTCAGGACCGAGAACCGCAGGGCAAACACATAGCATGGTCAGGACCGAGATAGCAGGGCAAACACATAGCATGGTCAGGACCGAGAACCGCAGGGCAAACACATAGCATGGTCAGGACCTAGAACCACACACACAAAACACTGTCAGGACAAAGGACTGCACACTTCTCAACCGACAATTGAAAGACATTAAAATGAGGCCAAGGAGAAAAATAGTACAACAATAGGGGAGCCTCAGATTTAGAAACAATAATGGGTTGAACATGAGAGAGAGAGAGAGAGAGAGAGAGAGAGAGAGAGAGAGAGAGAGAGAGACAGAGACAGAGAGACAGAGACAGAGACAGAGACAGAGACAGAGACAGAGACAGAGACAGAGACAGAGACAGAGACAGAGAGAGAGAGAGAGAGAGAGAGAGAGAGAGAGAGACAGAGAGAGACGGCGGTAGCAGGTGTGTGTTACTGAGATAATAAAGTTATACCACTCAGCTTTAGTAAGGCTTTAGTAAGGCATTATCTGCCTCTCTGTTTATTACATATCCAGCTCATACACACTTCTCATACTTGCATGCTCTTCAACCGAACGCTGCTTGCACCCGCCCACCCGACTAGAATCACTACTCTAGACGGGTCTGACCTAGAGTATGTGGACAACTACAAATATCTAGGTGTCTGGTTAGACTGTAAACTCTCCTTCCAGACTCACATTAAGAATCTCCAATCCAAAGTTAAATCTAGAATCGGTTTCCTATTTCGCAACAAAGCCTCCTTCACTCATGCTGCCAAACATGCCCTCGTAAAACTGACTATCCTACCGATCCTTGACTTCGGCGATGTCATTTACAAAATAGCCTCCAACACTCTACTCAGCAAATTGGATGTAGTCTATCACAGTGCCATCCGTTTTGTCTCCAAAGCCCCATATACTACCCACCACTGTGACCTGTACGCTCTTGTTGGCTGGTCCTCACTACATATTCGTCGCCAAACCCACTGGCTCCAGGCCATCTATAAATCACTGCTAGGCAAATCCCCGCCTTATCTTAGCTCATTGGTCACCATAGCAACACCCACCCGTAGTCTGCGCTCCAGCGGGTATATCTCACTGGTCATCCCCAAAGCCAACACCTCCTTTGGCCGCAATTCCTTCCAGTTCTCTGCTGCCAATGACTGGAACAAATTGCAAAAATCTCTGAAGCTGGAGACACTTATCTCCCTCACTAACTTTAAGCATCAGTTGTCAGAGCACCTTACCGATCACTGCACCTGTACACAGCCCATCTGAAATTAGCCCGCCCAACTACCTCATCCCTATATTGTTATTTATTTTGCTCATTTGTACCCCAGTATCTCTATTTGCACATCATCTCTTGCACATCATTCCAGTGTTAATACTAAATTGTAATTATTTTGCACTATAGCCTATTTTATTGCCTTACCTCCATAACTTGCTAAATTTGCACACTGTATATTATATGTATTTCTGTTGTATTTTTGACTTTGTTTTGTTTTACCCCATATGTAACTCTGTGTTGTTGTTTTTATCGCACTGCTTTGCTTTATCTTGGCCAGGTCGCAGTTGTAAATGAGAACTTGTTCTCAACTGGTTTACCTGGTTAAATAAAGATGAAAAAAAAAAAAAAAAAAAAAAAATACAATCCAAATGTCATGGGCACTATATCGTCATCCCCAATGTGTGAGCCCAGTCAGATAAGATACCATTCTCTCTTTTACTGTCATTCCTTAAAGAGACCACCATTAATTTGAGTGAATTTGGCGAGAGAGAGAGAGTAAACGGCCATCTATGGATTTGTCCTTTAAGAGTGTGTTTCATTAGATTAGCCTGCTAAAAATGGCTGGAGGGAGAGAGGAGGGGAGGAGAGAAGAGGAGGTAGGAGAGGAGGGAGGAAAGCATGCTAGACATTGGGAGAATCTCAATTGCATATTCCTCGCCTCTTCTTTCCTCACCTCCTTCTCAAAACCCATTGGATTAGAAGGGCAGAGGTCAACTTTGGTATTACAGTAGAGTATGCCTACTCTAGCCATTATTTTTCTTCACCCAACAACAACCTCAAAACAATCTCCTGTTCTGACCTTTGACCTCCTACCTGAAGAGCAGTAGGATCACCACGGCGATGGAGAGGAAGACCAGGGAGGTGCCGTAGCCGATGGTGTAGATCAGCTTGACAGTGGCAAAGTAGGACTCCTGCATAGGTTTCACATAGAGATAGAAATCAGAACCCCATATTCAGTCTCAGAGTAGTGATCTAGGATCAGGTCCACCCTGTCCATATACTTTTATTCATTATTATTCATCTAAAAACATTAAACGGATCCTATATCAGCACTCACACTCGACACCAGGACCTGTACTAATGAAGCCTGTCAGAGTATGAGTGCTGATCTAGGATCAGTTCTCTATTTTTAGACCATAATAAATACGATTATTTGAACAGGGGGACCTGATCCCAGATCAGCACTCCTCCTCTGAGACTCTGGGGTCATTCCATGTCATCTCTGCAAGCCACGACACCCACCATCTCAGATTGTTCTGAAATCGTTTCTGTAGTTAGAGACAGATAAGATTAGCATTCCTGAAACATTATTTTGTTGAAATGTAATTTGATCGCTGAGAAATTAAGCTAATTGATTGCACCCAAATTGGCCATTCGATTTGGACTATAATTATTTCTAACAATGTTCAAATGACAATAAAATGATCAATAGCCACCCACGGGCTCCCCACACCCCACACCACTCCCACCCCAACAACCAGTATACAGTATCAGTTCTCTATGTCTGACAAGTCTTTACTGAAGAATCATCTTTTCAGTAGGTCCTATGATTGAGTGTAGTCTGGCCCAGGGGTGCGAAGGTGAACGGCAAGGCACTGGAGTGACGAACCACCCTTGCTGTCTCTGCCTGGCTGGCTTCCCTCTCTCCACCGGGATTCTCTGCCTCTGACCCTATTACGGGGGCTGAGTCACTGGCTTGCAAGTGCTCTCCCATGCCATCCCTATGAGGGGTGCATCAGGTCTTGACAGGCTTTTTTCGCTAAACTCGACTTGAGTGGGTTGAGTCACTAATGTTACCTTCCTGTCCGGTCATCTCGGGCTCGTGTGGTGGGGGAGATCTTTGTGGGCTATGCCTTGTCTCAGAGTATTAAATTGGTGGTCTGTTGATATCACTCTGGTGGTGTATTTCTCCTGTCTTATCTTGTGTCCTGTGTGATCTTAAGTATGCTCCCTTTAATTCTCTCATCTCTCTCTGTCGCTCTCTCTCTCTCTCTTCGCTCAGAGAGGAACTGAGCCCTAGGACCATGCCTCAGGACAACCTGGCCTGATGACTCCTGGCTGTCCCCTTCCCCAGTCCACCTTGTCGTGATCCAGTTTCTGCTGTTCTGCCTGCGGCTATGGAACCCTGACCTGTTCACCGGGGGGCCAGTATGAAAAATGTATGCACTCACTAACTGTAAGTCGCTCTGGATAAGAGCGTCTGCTAAATGACTAAAATGTAAAAGGGTGGCAGGTAGCTTAGTGGGTAAGAGCGTTGTGCCAGTAACCGAAAGGTCGCTGGTTCTAATCCCTGAGCCGACTAGGTGAGAAATCTGTCGATGTGCACTTAACCCTAATTGCTCATGTAAGTCGCTCTGGATAAGAGCGTCTGCTAAATGACTAAAATGTAAATCACTTGCAATCTTAACCATTAGTGTAAAAGTACCACGTTTTACCCACTAGATGCCGCTGTTCCTGCTACCACACCCTTTTATCTATTTTGCTGGTCTCTTGTGTTTATTACATTTTACATTTGACATTTTAGTCATTTAGCAGACGCTCTTATCCAGAGCGACTTACAGTTAGTGAGTGCATACATAATTTTTTTATTTTTCATACTGGCCCCCCGTGGGAATCGAAACCCACAACCCTGGCGTTGCAAACGCCATGCTCTACCAACTGAGCTACATCCCTGCCGGCCATTCCCTCCCCTACCCTGGACGACGCTGGGCCAATTGTGCGCCGCCCCATGGGTCTCCCGGTCACGGCCGGCTACGACAGAGCCTGGATCTATTAAATGGATCACAACATTGTCTTTGCCAAGTCACTTGGCTCTGTCATATCCTCACATGGCCTCTCCTATCATTGCTACGCTGACGATACACAACTAATCTTCTCCTTTCCCCCTTCTGATAACCAGGTGGCGAATCGCATCTCTGCATGTCTGGCAGACATATCAGTATGGATGACGGATCACCACCTCAAGCTGAACCTTGGCAAGACGGAGCTGCTCTTCCTCCCGGGGAAGGACTGCCCATTCCATGATCTCGCCATCACGGTTGACAACTCCGTTGTGTCATCCTCCCAGAGTGCGAAGAGCCTTGGCGTGACCCTGGACAACACCCTGTCGTTCTCCGCTAACATCAAGGCGGTGACCCGATCCTGTAGGTTCATGCTCTACAACATTCGGAGAGTACGACCCTGCCTTACACAGGAAGCGGCACAGGTCCTAATCCAGGCACTTGTCATCTCCCGTCTGGATTACTGCAACTCGCTGTTGGCTGGGCTCCCTGCCTGTGCCATTAAACCCCTACAACTCATCCAGAATGCCGCAGCCCGCCTGGTGTTCAACCTTCCCAAGTTCTCTCACGTCACCCCGCTCCTCCGCACACTCCACTGGCTTCCAGTTGAAGCTCGCATCTGTTACAAGACCATGGTGCTTGCCTATGGAGCTGTGAGGGGAACGGCACCTCCGTACCTTCAGGCTCTGATCAGTCCCTACACCCAAACGAGGGCATTGCGTTCATCCACCTCTGGCCTGCTGGCTCCCCTTTCTCTGCGGAAGCATAGTTCCCGCTCAGCCCAGTCAAAACTGTTCGCTGCTCTGGCACCCCAATGGTGGAACAAGCTCCCTCACGACGCCAGGACAGCGGAGTCACTCACCACCTTCCGGAGACATTTGAAACCCCACCTCTTTAAGGAATACCTGGGATAGGATAAAGTAATCCTTCTACCCCCCCCCCCCCCCTTACCCCAACCCCCCCCCCCCCCCTTAAAAAAAAAAAAAAAAAACACATTGTAAAGTGGTTGTACAACTGGTTGTAAGGTGAATGCACCAATTTGTAAGTCGCTCTGGATAAGAGCGTCTGCTAAATGACGTAAATGTAAATGTAAATGTTTGCAACTTTGGGTAGAAAACCAATTGCTTTTGCTCATGATGATAATATCGGTCCCATGATTTCAATGGGATTTCCAACTCTAGGTTTTTTCACAACTGCCACCAGTTTTTTTACTATGAAACCCTGAACACCAATGGTATTCACTAAGTTGATGGTTTATATTTAGGATAATGTTTACAGCTTTGCCATTGTATTTAAACATTTTAAATCATCTTATTTGATTTTGTATATATATATATATATATATGTTTTACATGTGATATGGCCACACAGAGGGCCAGAGATAATTACAGACGCTTGTGACAATCTGAAGTACCCAAAAAGGCCACTAGATATCATTGATAAACATTTCATATATTCCTTGAAAGTTACCAAAATTCTGGTAGTTTACTGATAATCTTCTAAAGTTTCCAGTAATATACCATCCCTTTGCAACCCTACCCTGATCCTTCTCTCTAAACTCTCTTTCACCTCTGGAATGTGAATGTCGTCGCCCACACTACAGGCTATGTGGTACGGGGGGAAGGGTCGCGACCATCCGATGCTGGTGCAGTTTCGGCTGACTGACCCTGCTGAGGTAGAGGTCAAAGGTTAGGGGTCACCGGGGATGAGAAACGGATTGAAAGCCAGTGGAAAATGGACAAAGAGATAATTACTGTATAAGCGAAAACCATAACATACTACCTGTATATCATTGTACGTATATTGTATTTATACTTTATACAGTACTGTTATAGACACATCAGTACACACACAACCCCCCCCCAGTGTGACAAATGTCACCTGCACCTGTGTTATTCCCAAAAAGAGAGAAGACAGCAGGACAGGCTGTGTGGACCATCTCCCCAACCGCAGCATATGGCCAGCACACCACAGAGTCCCAGAACAGTAAACAACCTGAGAGAGAGAGAGAGAGAGAGAGAGAGAGAGAGAGAGAGAGAGAGAGAGAGAGAGAGAGAGAGAGAGAGAGAGAGAGAAGAGAGAGAGAGAAGAGAGAGAGAAGAGAGAAGAGAGAGAGAGAGAGAGAGAGAGAGAGAGAGAGGGTTGATGTACAGTCTACTGTATTTTCATTCTTAAAGCCTACTTAATTGCAACCCAAATATAATACCTCACTCACAGCCAAGAATTTAATCCTGCTATAAATTACACACATACAGTGCATTCGGAAAGTATTCAGACCCCTTGACTTTTTCCACATTTTGTGGAAATTGATTAAAAATAAAACCATCTCAATCTACACACAATATTATCACATTTACATAAGTATTCAGACCCTTTACTCAGTACTTTGTTGAAGCACCTTTGGCAGCGACTACAGCCTTCTTGGGTATGACGCTACAAGCTTGGCACACCTGTATTTGGGGAGTTTCTCCCATTGCAGATCCTCTCAAGCTCTGTCAGGTTGGATGGAGAGCGTTGCTGCGCAGCTATTTTCAGGTCTCTCCAGAGATGTTTGGTTGGGTTCAAGTCCGGGCTCTGGCTGGGCCACTCAAGGACATTCAGAGACTTGTCCCAAAGCCACTCCTGCGTTGTATTGGCTGTGTGCTTAGGATCGTTGTACTTTTGGAAGGTGAACCTTTGCCCCAGTCTGAGGTCCTGAGCGCTCTGGAGTAGGTTTTCATCAAGGATCTCTCTGTACTTTGCTCTGTTCATCTTTCCCTCGATCCTGACTAGTCTCCCAGTCCCTGCCGCTGAAAATCATCCCCACAGCATGATGCTGCCACCACCATGCTTCACCGTAGGGATGGCCCCAGGCTTCCTCCAGACATGATGCTTGGCATTCAGGCCAAAGAGTTCAATCTTGGTTTCATCAGACCAGAGAATCTTGTTTCTCATGGTCTGAGAGTCCTTTAGGTGCCTTTTGGTAAACTCCAAGCAGGCTGTCATGTGCCTTTTACTGAGGAGTGGCTTCCGTCTGGCCACTCTACCATCAAGGCCTGATTGGGTGGAATGCTGCAGAGATGGTTGTCCTTCTGGAAGGTTCTCCCATCTCCACAGAGGAACTCTGGAGCTCTGTCAGAGTGACCATCGGGTTCTTGGTCACCTCCCTGACCAATGCCCTTCTCCCCTGATTGCTGAGTTTGGCCGGGTGGCCAGCTCTTGGTGGTTCCAAACTTCTTCCATTTAAGAATGATGGAGGCCACTGTGTTCTTGTGGACCTTCAATGCTGCAGAAATGTTTTGGTACCCTTCCCCAGATCTGTGCCTCGACACAATCCTGTCTTGGAGCTCTACGGACAATTCCTTCGACCTCATGGCTTGGTTTTTGCTCTGACATGCAATGTCAACTGTGGGACCTTATATAGACAGGTGTGTGCCTTTCCAAATCATGTCCAATTCATTGAATTTACCACAGGTGGACTCCAATCAAGTTGTAGAAACATCTCAAGGATGATCAATGGAAACAGCATGCACCTGAGCTCAATTTTGAGTCTCATAGCAAAGGGTCTGAATACTTATGTAAATAAGGTATTTCTGTTTTTTATTTTTAATACATTTGCAAAAATGTCTAAACCTGTTTTCGCTTTGTCATTGTGGGGTATTGTGTGTAGATTGAAGGGAATTATTATTATTATTTGAATCCATTTTAGAATAAGGCTGTAATGTAACAAAATGTGGAAAAAGGGAAGGGGTCTGAATACTTTCTGAATGCACAGTATATAGGCCTTAAAGGGATAGCTCACCTCAACTATGCTACTCTCTTTTGATATATTATAATCACTTACTACTTCTACACTAGAATCGTTTTTGAATCTGCTCTTTCAGAAACTATTCTCTGCAAACCATTTATTCAATGCCAGACTCTCACATTTAGATGTGAACACACTGTATATCATATTATGACTGACTATACTTGAGATAGAGAGTGGAGAGTGAGAACATGTAATGGCTCATTCTAAGAGGGTAGTGGCACGGATACCTAGTGTACTGTGGTTGTTGTTGTGCTCTGTGATATATTGAAGACAACGCCGCTCCTCTCTCTCCAGCTGTAAAATATACTCGCAGTCTGGGTGCAGACTCGACAGAATCTGGCGAGAGAGATGGGGGGGGGGGGGGGGGGATAGACAAAGAGAGACAGATACAGAGAAAGTGAGGCAAATATTGAACCAAAAGTTGAAACTATCAAAACAAAACCAATCATTCTTCTATTAAGTGTATGGAAGAACACTCACGTCTCCCTCCAGCAACCCACCTGCATGGCTATTGAAGAAAGGAATTAATATTATCTACTGGCTGAGATGTCTGCACATTTTATGATTAATATTAAGTGCACACAGTTTAAATGGCATATTTGAATTATGAAGGTGGCTATTCACACGTAAAAAAAAGAACAGAAAACGACTTGACATTGACAGAGTCTGTATCTGTCACGCCCTGGCTCTGGGGACTCTTAAATGTTGAGCCAGGGTGTGGATTTTTCTATGTTTAGTTTTTTGTTCTAGATCGTTTAGATCTATGTTGGCCAGGGTGGTTCCCAATCAGAGGCAGCTGTAGCTCGTTGTCTCTGATTGGGGACCATACTTAGGCAGCCTGTTGGCACCAGTTAGTTTGTGGAATCTTGATCCGTAAAGGTTTGGTGTGTGTAACCTCAGGACTTCACGTATCGTATCGGTTTGTTGTTTTGTTTGTGTGTTGTGTATCAATAAAGATGTACGCGTATCACGCTGCGCCTTGGTTCCACGAGTCATCAGTCAACGTGCGTGACAGAAGATCCCACCTAAAGAGGACCAAGCAGCGTGTCCAAGAACAGACAGCCTGGACTTGGGAGGAGATCCTGGACGGGAAGGGATCCTGGACTTGGGAAGAGATTCAGGCCGGAATGGATCGCCGTCCTTGGGAGGAGACTGTGGAGGCGCGCTACAGAGAGGAGCAGCGGCAACGCAGAGGGTACCGGCCGAGGAGGAAGCCCGATAGACAGCCCCAATAATTTTTTTGGGGGGGGCTAAAAGGGTGGTTGGCGGAGCCTAGAGTTAGAGCAGAGCCAACTCCCCGTACTCAGGCTAGGAAGCGTGGGACTGGGCAGGCTCCGTGTTATGCGGAGCCACGTACTGTGCCGCGAGTGTTCCGGCACAGTCCTGTACGTCCGGTGCTAGCACCACGCACGTGTCGTGCTAAGGTGGGCATGCAGCCAGGACGGGGTGTGCCGGCTCAACGCTCGTGGCCTCCAGTACGCCTCCTCGGTCCCGTATATCCTGCGCCAGTGCCATGTGCTGTAGCGCCAGTACGAGTGCACAGCCCTGTACGTCCTGTGCTGATGCCTCACACATATTGTGTGGAAATAGGCATTCAGCCAGGACGGGTTGTGTCAGCTCTCCGCTCCAGACCTCCAGTCCGCCTCCACAGTCTGGCCCGGCCCGTTCCGGCTCCCCGCACCAAGCCAGTGGTGCGTGTTCCCAGTCCAGCCCAGGCCTGTTCCTTCTCCCCGCACCAAGGCAGTGGTGCGTGTTCCCAGTCCAGCCCGGCCTTTTCCTATCCCTCGCACCAAGCCAGTGGTGCGTGTCGCCAGCCCGGTCCGGCCTGTTCCTGTCCCTCGCACCAAGCCAGTGGTGCGCGTCGCCAGCCCGGTCCGGCCTGTTCCTGCTCCCCGCACCAAGCCAGTGGTGCGTGTCGCCAGCCCGGTCCGGCCTGTTCCTGCTCCCCGCACCAAGCCAGTGGTGCGCGTCGCCAGCCCGGTCCGGCCTGTTCCTGCTCCCCGCACCAAGCCTGTGGTGCCTGTGGTGCGTGTCGTCAGCCCGGTCCGGCCCGTTCCTGCTCCCTGCGCCAAGCCAGTGGTGCGTGTGTCCAGTCCGGCACGGCCCGTGCCTGTTCCACCGGTGCCTGGTCCGGCACCGGTCAGCTGCTCCACTCCGGAGTCAGAGCAATCCGCTCCACCGGGGTCCGGTCCAACTCCAGTCAGCGGATCCACTCCGGAGCCAGAGCAATCCGCTCCACCGGTGTCCAGTCCAGCTCCGGCCAGCGGCTCCAGTCCGGAGCCGGTAAGGTTTGGTCCACCGTCGTCGGTTCCAGCTCCAGTCAGCGGGGCCAGACCAGACCAGGGGCGCAACGGGGAGGTGGAGAAAAGGTGGTGGTCACGCCCGGAGCCGGATCCGCCTCCGAGGCGGAATGCCCACCCGGCCCCTACCCTCTTGTGTTTGTGTGGCGCGGTCGCAGTCCGCGCCTTTGGGGGGGGGGGTACTGTCATGCCCTGGCTCTGGGGACTCTTAAATGTTGAGCCAGGGTGTGGATTTTTCTATGTTTAGTTTTTTGTTCTAGATCGTTTAGATCTATGTTGGCCAGGGTGGTTCCCAATCAGAGGCAGCTGTAGCTCGTTGTCTCTGATTGGGGACCATACTTAGGCAGCCTGTTGGCACCAGTTAGTTTGTGGGATCTTGATCCGTAAAGGTTTGGTGTGTGTAACCTCAGGACTTCACGTATCGTTTCGTTTTGTTGTTTTGTTCGTGTGTTGTGTATCAATAAAGATGTACGCTTATCACGCTGCGCCTTGGTTCCACGAGTCATCAGTCAACGTGCGTGACAGTATCCCTAATGTCAGAGAGAGGTAAATTATCCAACAGGATCAACAGGACCCTGAACAGCTTCTATCCCCAAGATATAACACTGCTAAATAGTTAATGCAAAAAGGGTCAATGCTATTGGTTAACTATTTAACTAACTATTTTTACTCATCACATACACTGCTGCTACTGTTTATTATCTATCCTGTTGCCTAGTCACTTTATCCCTACCTACAGTTGAAGTCGGAAGTTTACATACACTTAGGTTGGAGTCATTAAAACTCGTTTTTCAACCACTCCACACATTTCTTGTTAACAAACTATAGTTTTGGCAAGTCGGTTAGGACATCTACTTTGTGCATGACACAAGTAATTTTTCCAACAATTGTTTACAGACAGATTATTTCACTTATAATTCACTGTATCACAATTCCAGTGGGTCAGAAGTTTACATACACTAAATTGACTGTGCCTTTAAACAGCTTGGAAAATTCCAGAAAATGATGTTATGGCTTTAGAAGCTTCTGATAAGCTAATTGACATCATTTGAGTCAATTGGAGGTGTACCTGTGGATGTATTTCAAGGCCTACCTTCAAACTCAGTGCCTCTTTGCTTGACATCATGGGAAAATCAAAAGAAATCAGCCAAGACCTCAGAAAAATAATTGTAGACCTCCATAAGTCTGGTTCATCCTTTTTCCAAACGCCTGAAGGTACCACGTTCATCTGTACAAACAATAGTACACAAGTATAAACACCATGGGACCACGCAGCTGTCATACGGCTCAGGAAGGAGACGCATTCTGTCTCCTAGAGATGAACGTACTTTGGTGCGAAAAGTGCAAATCAATCCCAGAACAACAGCAAAGGACATTGTGAAGATGCTGGAGGAAACAGGTACAAAAGTATCTATATCCACAGTAAAACGAGTCCTATATTGACATAACCTGAAAGGCCGCTCAGCAAGGAAGAAGCCACTGCTCCAAAACCGCCATAAAAAAGCCAGACTATGGTTTGCAACTGCACATGGGGACAAAGATCGTACTTTTTGGAGAAATGTCCTCTGGTCTGATGAAACAAAAATATAACTGTTTGGCCATAATGACCATCGTTATGTTTGGAGGAAAAAGGGGTAGGCTTGCAAGCCGAAGAACACCATCCCAACCGTGAAGCACAGGGGTGGCAGCATCATGCTGTGGGAGTGCTTTGCTGCAGGAAGGACTGGTGCACTTCACAAAATAGATGGCATCATGAGGAAGGAAAATTAGGTGGATATATTGAAGCAACATCTCAAGACATCAGTCAGGAAGTTAAAGCTTGGTCGCAAATGTGTCTTCCAAATGGACAATGACCCCAAGCATACTTCCAAAGTTGTGGCAAAATGGCTTAAGGACAACAAAGTCAAGGTATTGGAGTGGCCATCTCAAAGCCCTGACCTCAATCCTATAGAACATTTGTGGGCAGAACTGAAAAAGCGTGTGTGAGCAAGGAGGTTTACAAACCTGACTCGGTTACACCAGCTCTGTCAGGAGGAATGGGCCAAACTTCACCCAACTTATTGTGGGAAGCTTGTGGAAGGCTACCCGAAACGTTTGACCCAAGTTAAACAATTTAAAGGCAATGCTACCAAATACTAATTGAGGGTATGTAAACTTCTGACCCACTGGGAATGTGATGAAATAAATAAAAGCTGAAATAAATAATTATCTCTACTATTATTCTGACATTTCACATTCTTCAAATAAAGTGGTGATCCTAACTGACCTAAGATAGGGAATTTTTACTAGGATTAAATGTCAGGAAATTGTGAAAAACTGAGTTTAAATGTATTTTGCTAAGGTGTATGTAAACTTCCGACTTCAACTGTATATGTACATGTCTACCTCAATTCCCTCATACTCTTGCACATCGACACGGTACTGGTTCCCTGGTATATAGCTAGTTATTGTTACTCATTGTGTATTTATTATCTTTCTATTTTTCTACTATTTCTCTATTTTTCTCTCTGCATTGTTGGGAACGGCCCGTAAGTAAGCATTTCACTGTTAGTCTACGAAGCATGTGACAAATAAAAGATTTGAACAGTGACTCATTTCGGCCATACAGTGCCTTCAGAAAGTATTCATACACCTTCCGACTTTGTTTGTGTGCAAAGCTGTCATCAAGGCAAAGGGTGGCTATTTGAAGAATCTCAAATATAAAATATATTTTGATTTGTTTAACACTTTTTTTGGTTACTACATGATTCCATATGTGTTATTTCATAGTTTTGATGTCTTCACTATTATTCTACAATGTAAAATATAGTAAAAATAAAGAAAAACCCTTGAGTAGGGGTGTCCAAACCATTGACTGGTAGTGAACATATTTCTTCAATTTTCGTGTGTGAGAGAGAGTATGTTTGTGGATTTGTTAGTCTTAGGATATTTTGAGTGGTTGTGTGGATGGACATAGAGTGCATTCGGAAAGTATTCAGACCCCTTCACTTTATCCAAATGTTGTTACGTTACAGACATATTCTAAAATTAATTACATTAGTTTTGTTCCTCATCAATCTACACACAATACCCCATAAAGGCAAAGGAAAAGCAGGTTTTTAGACATTTTTGCACATTTATGAATAACAAAAAATGGAAATATCACATTTAGGGTTTTTAATGAACTAGTACGGCTATCTTCAATAGATAGGACATATTGATGCAACAGTAGATAAAATGGGGAGAGGTCTGTCTGTAATAAAGCGCTGCTGTGCTTTCTTGACATCGCTATCATCAAAACAAGTCCTACAGGCCCTAGTTTTATCACACATGGACTACTGCCCAGTCATATGGTCAAGTGCCACAAAGCGGGACATAGGCATCTTAAAGTTGGCCCAGAAGAGAACAGCACCACTGACCCTTAAATGTACATGGAGCTCTAACATCAAAAACATGCATGTCTCAAAGTAGAGGAGAGATTGACTGCATCACTACTCGTCTTTGAAAGCACAGAGCTGTCTGTTCAAACGACTTGCACACAGCTCGGACACCCATGCATACCCCACAAGACGTGCCACCAGTGGTCTCTTCACAGTCCCCAAGTTTACTTTAGCGTATGGTTTGTTAAAATAGAACCCAAGGGCTTAAATCAAGCAAGTCAATCAGAAACTGAGGATTGGGGTTCATAAAGTGTTTACGTCTCTAATGGTAACCCATTAATAGTACACTACTTTTGTGTTTCACGTGTGTTTGACAACAGCTGATCATTAGAATTGGGGGCGCTCTCAAAAAAATAATTAACGAATGGTGGGGAACAAGCGTGATTGCGCATTAGATGACACCTTCTCAGTACTGCATACGTTTTTACTAATCAGTACGTTTATGTCGTAAGTAGTAGGCAATACGGATTTCAGACACGGACAGTTTCGTGACTTTTACCGACACACACTCTGAATTCCATATCGCCCCCTAGCCCCTTGTCTAGATCTGAGAGGATTGGCTACATATAAGCGTTACGGTGATCACTTCTGATTGGCTGCAATAGGTCTATTGGTTCTGATTGGATGCCATAGGCCTATTGCTTCCATCTATCCAATCCTCTCAGATCTACAGTAGTGCCTAGGGTGTAGGGTCTAGGGGTTAGGATTAGGGTATAGGGCTTAGGTTGTAGGGGCTAGGGGTTAGGGTGTAGGATCTAGGGGTCAATATGGAACTGAGCATAAGTAGAGTCACTCTGTATTTGTCTGGATCAATGTTACGTTAGTAGGGTTAATGACTAGGTAATTACAAGTCTCTGGGTAGAAGAGTAGAAAATAAGGGATATCAAAAGAGGAGAGCAACGTGTGTTCTTTATGATGTAACTAGTGGCATAGTCATTTCAACTAAAATAAGCTCAGGGTTTATGTTTACATTTGTAAGATATGCAGGTCATGTTGTCGGCCATGTTGGAATATGCTAAGAGAGCTAATGCTAACCAGATCACTACTGTAGTTGACCTTTGAACTTGTTTGTGTAGAGCATTAACACTGGTTGCTCTTATTGGCTTATTGGCTTCATTACAACAATATCATCAACAATAACAACGTGTGTGTCAGTAACGCGTTTGTCAAATTTACATTTACATTTTACATTTTAGTCATTTAGCAGACGCTCTTATCCAGAGCGACTTACAGATTCTCCACATGGGAAAATTATCCACCAGATGTTCTTGTCTCTTGGTTCGGCAGCTGAGGCATAAAATGGATCGTTGTCGCTCTGAAAAACCAGGTCACGTTGATTCCGATAAAGGACTTTATTTCTTTGGATAAGCCGAGGCACAACGACGACTTAATCTCCCTGGAATAGAAAAGTGTAGATAACTCACAGGTTGCATCCCAAATGGTCGGGGTCTCTCTCTCTCTCATACACACACCCATGTGTCAGTCTTGTCACTGAAAAATTTTACATTTTGTTTTCCTGTTTCCTGTCAATTCAAACTCCTCAAATGAAGGCTACAATGGAAACGTTCAGTCCCACTTTAGGCATTACAACTTATAAAGGCTTTATGTAGCATACATAAAGTCTTCATAAGCACTATAAAGATGCTTCACAAATCATTTATTTTACATTTACATTTTAGTCATTTAGCAGACGCTCTTATCCAGAGTGACTTACAGTTAGTGAGTGCATACATTATTTATGTATTTATTTTTCATACTGGCCCCCCGTGGGAATCAAACCCACAACCCTGTCGTTGCAAACGCCATGCTCTACCAACTGAAATACATCCCTGCCGGCCATTCCCTCCCCTACCCTGGACGACGCTGCGCCACCCCATGGGTCTCCCGGTCGCGGCCGGCTACGACAGAGCTTTGTCATTATTGGGTATTGTGTGTAGATTGATGAAGGAAAAAAACAATTTAATCAATTTTAGAATAAGGCTGTAACGTAACAAAATATGAAAAAGTCAAGGGGTCTGAATACTTTCTGACGGCACTGTACACCCTTAATAGAATATGACATCAAATCAAATTGTGTTTGTCACATGCTTCGTAAACAACAGTTGTAGATTAACAGTGACATTCTTACTTACGGGTGCTTTTCCAACAATGCAGAGTTAAAGATAAGATACAAATATAAAAGAAAATTAGAAATAGTGGCACGAGGAATAAATACACAGTGAAAACAATAATGAGTAAAAATAACATGGCAATATACAGGGAGTACCAGGTAATAACATGGCTATATACAGGGAGTACCAGGTAATAACATGGCTATATACAGGGAGTACCAGGTAATAACATGGCTATATACAGGGAGTACCAGGTAATAACATGGCTATATACAGGGAGTACCAGGTAATAACATGGCTATATACAGGGAGGACCAGGTAATAACATGGCTATATACAGGGAGTACCAGGTAATAACATGGCTATATACAGGGAGTACCAGGTAATAACATGGCTATAAACAGGGAGTACATTTACATTTACATAATTTAGCAGATGCTCTTATCCAGAGCGACTTACACATTGGTGCATTCAATTTATGATAGCAAGTGGGACAACCACTTTTTTTCTTCTTTTTTTTTATGGGGGGGTGGGGTGGGGGGGTAGAAGGATTGCTTTATACTATTCCAGGTATTCCTTAAAGAGGTAGGGTTTCAAGTGTCTCCGGAAGGTGGTCAGTGACTCCGCTGTCCTGGCGTCGAGGGGGAGCTTGTTCCTCCATTGGGGTGCCAGAGCAGCAAATAGCTTTGACTGGGCTGAGCAGGAACTGTGCTTCTGTAGAGGTAGTGGAGCTAGCAGGCCAGAGGTGGATGAACGTAGTGCCCTCGTTTGGGTGTAGGGTCTGATCAGTGCCTGAAGGTAAGGAGGTGCCGTTCCCCTCACAGCTCCTTAGGCAAGCACCATGGTCTGGTAGTCGATGCGAGCCTCAACTGGAAGCCAGTAAAGAACACACGTTGCTCTCCTCTTTTGATATCCCTTCTTCTCCACTCTTCTACCCAGAGACTTGTAATTACCTAGTCATTAACCCTACTAATGTAACATTGATCCAGACAAATACAGAGTGACTCTACTTATGCTCAGTTCCATATTGACCCCTAGATCCTACACCCTAACCCCTAGCCCCTACAACCTAAGCCCTACACCCTAATCCTAACCCCTAGACCCTACACCCTAGGCACTACTGTAGATCTGAGAGGATTGGATAGATGGAAGCAATAGGCCTATGGCATCCAATCAGAACCAATAGACCTATTGCAGCCAATCAGAAGTGATCACCGTAACGCTTATATGTAGCCAATCCTCTCAGATCTAGACAAGGGGCTAGGGGGACATATCAGTGTGGATGTCGGATCACTACCTCAAGCTGAACCTCAGCAAGACGGAGCTGCTCTTCCTCCCGGGGAAGGACTGCCCGCTCCATGATCTCGCCATCACGGTTGACAACTCCATTGTGTCCTCCTCCCAGAGTGCAAAGAGCCTTGGCGTGACCCTGGACAACACCCTGTCGTTCTCTGCTAACATCAAAGCGGTGACCCGATCCTGCAGGTTCATGCTCTACAACATTTGCAGAGTACGACCCTACCTTACACAGAAAGCGGCACAGGTCCTAATCCAGGCACTTGTCATCTCCCGTCTGGATTACTGCAACTCGCTGTTGGCTGGGCTCCCTGCCTGTGCCATTAAACCCCTACAACTTATCCAGAACGCCGCAGCCCGTCTGGTGTTCGACCTTCCCAAGTTCTCTCATGTCACCCCGCTCCTCCGCACACTCCACTGGCTTCCAGTTGAGGCTCGCATCGACTACCAGACCATGGTGCTTGCCTACGGAGCTGTGAGGGGAACGGCACCTCCTTACCTTCAGGCTCTGGTCAGACCCTACACCCAAACGAGGGCACTACGTTCATCCACCTCTGGCCTGCTAGCTCCCCTACCTCTACAGAAGCACAGTTCCCGCTCAGCCCAATCAAAGCTATTTGCTGCTCTGGCACCCCAATGGTGGAACAAGCTCCCCCTCGACGCCAGGACAGCGGAGTCACTGACCACCTTCCGGAGACACTTGAAACCCTACCTCTTTAAGGAATACCTGGAATAGTATAAAGCAATCCTTCTATCCCCCCACCCCAACCCACCCCATAAAAAAAAGAAGAAAAAAAGTGGTTGTCCCACTTGCTATCATAAGTTGAATGCACCAATTTGTAAGTCGCTCTGGATAAGAGCATCTGCTAAATTATGTAAATGTAAATGTACTCCCTGTTTATAGCCATGTTATTACCTGGTACTCCCTGTATATAGCCATGTTATTACCTGGTACTCCCTGTATATAGCCATGTTATTACCTGGTGCTCCCTGTATATAGCCATGTTATTACCTGGTACTCCCTGTATATAGCCATGTTATTACCTGGTACTCCCTGTATATAGCCATGTTATTACCTGGTACTCCCTGTATATAGCCATGCTATTACCTGGTACTCCCTGTATATAGCCATGTTATTACCTGGTACTCCCTGTATATAGCAATGTTATTACCTGGTACTCCCTGTATATAGCCATGTTATTACCTGGTACTCCCTGTATATTGCCATGTTATTTTTACTCGTTATTGTTTTCACTGTGTATTTATTCCTCGTGCCACTATTTCTAATTTTCTTTTATATTTGTATCTTATCTTTAACTCTGCATTGTTGGAAAAGCACCCGTAAGTAAGAATTTCACTGTTAATCTACAACTGTTGTTTACGAAGCATGTGACAAACACAATTTGATTTGATGTCATATTCTATTAAGGGCGTACAGTGCCGTCAGAAAGTATTCAGACCCCTTGACTTTTTCATTTTTTGTTACGTTACAGACTTATTCTAAAATTGATTAAATTGTTTTTTTCCTTCATCAATCTACACACAATACCCAATAATGACAAAGCTCTGTCGTAGCTGGCCGCGACCGGGAGACCCATGGGGCGGCGCACAATTAGCCCAGCGTCATCCAGGGTAGGGGAGTGAATGGCTGGCAGGGATGTAGCTCAGTTGGTAGAGCATGGCGTTTGCAACGCCAGGGTTGTGGGTTCGTATCCCACGGGGGGCCAGTATAAAAAATAAAAGTATGCACTCACTAATTGTAAGTCGCTCTGGATAAGAGCGTCTGCTAAATGACTAAAATGTAAAGCAAAATCAGGTTTTAAGATTTTCTTTGCTAATTTATCAAAATAAAAAAACGGAAATATGACATTTACATAAGTATTCAGACCCTTTACTCAGTACTTTGTTGAAGCACCTTAGGCAGCGACTACAGCCTCGAGTCTTCTTGGGTATGACGCTACAAGCTTGGCACACCTGTATTTGGGGAGTTTCTCCCATTCTTCTCTGCAGATCCTCTTAAGCTCTGTCAGGTTGGATGGGGAGCGTTGCTGCGCAGCTATTTTCAGGTCTCTCCAGAGATGTTAGATCGGGTTCAATCCAGGCTCTGGCTGGGCCACTCAAGGACATTCAGAGACTTGTCCCGAAGCCACTCCTGTGTTGTGCTTAGGGTCGTTGTCTTGATGGAAAGTGAACCTTCGCTCCAGTCTGAGGTCCTGAGTGCTCTGGAGCAGGTTTTCATCAAGGATCTCTCTGTACTTTGCTCCGTTCATCTTTCCCTCGATCCTGACTAGTCTCCCAGTCCCTGCCGCTGAAAAACATCCCCACAGCAGGATGCTGCCACCACCATGCTTCACTGTAGGGATGGTGCCAGGTTTCCTCCAGACGTGACGCTTGGCATTTAGGCCAAAGAGTTCAATCTTGGTTTCATCAGACCAGAGAATCATGGTCTGAGAGTCTTTAGGTGCCTTTTGGCAAACTCCAAGCGGGCTGTGATGTGACTTTTTATGAGGAGTGGCTTCCGTCTGGCCACTCTACTATAAAGGCCTGCTTGGTGGAGTGCTGCAGAGATGGTTGTCCTTCTGGAAGGTTCTTTCATCTCCACAGAGGAACTCTGGAGCTCTGTCAGAGTGACCTCCCTGACCAAGGCCCTTCTCCCCCGGTTACTCAGTTTGGCCGGGCAGCCAGCTCTAGGAAGAGTCTTCTTTTTTCTTTTTTTTTTTTGGGGGGGGGGTAGATCAGCTTTAATATTGCAGATAGATTGTAACTTCCATCAATGAAATTGTCAGCATCACTTACAATCCCCCATATGTTTTTTTTTCTCGCAAATATATATGTGTATATATATATATATACATACATACATACATACATACACACACATACATACATATACAGTGGGGAGAACAAGTATTTGATACACTGCCGATTTTGCAGGTTTTCCTACTTACAAAGCATGTAGAGGTCTGTAATTTTTATCATAGGTACACTTCAACTGTGAGAGACGGAATCTAAAACAAAAATCCAGAAAATCACATTGTATGATTTTTAAGTAATTAATTTGCATTTTATTGCATGACATAAGTATTTGATACATCAGAAAAGTAGAACTTAATATTTGGTACAGAAACCTTTGTTTGCAATTACAGAGATAATACGTTTCCTGTAGGTCTTGACCAGGTTTGCACACATTGCAGCAGGGATTTTGGCCCACTCCTCCATACAGACCTTCTCCAGATCCTTCAGGTTTTGGGGCTGTCGCTGGGCAATACAGACTTTCAGCTCCCTCCAAAGATGTTCTATTGGGTTCAGGTCTGGAGACTGGCTAGGCCACTCCAGGACCTTGAGATGCTTCTTACGGAGACACTTCTTAGTTGCCCTGGCTGTGTGTTTTGGGTCGTTGTCATGCTGGAAGACCCAGCCACGACCCATCTTCAATGCTCTTACTGAGGGAAGGAGGTTGTTGGCCAAGATCTCGCGATACATGGCCTCATCCATCCTCCCCTCAATACGGTGCAGTCGTCCTGTCCCCTTTGCAGAGAAGCATCCCCAAAGAATGATGTTTCCACCTCCATGCTTCACGGTTGGGATGGTGTTCTTGGGGTTGTACTCATCATTCTTCTTCCTCCAAACACGGCGAGTGGAGTAAAGACCAAAAAGCTCTATTTTTGTCTCATCAGACCACATGACCTTCTCCCATTCCTCCTCTGGATCATCCAGATGGTCATTGGCAAACTTCAGACGGGCCTGGACATGCGCTGGCTTGAGCAGGGGGACCTTGCGTGCGCTGCAGGATTTTAATCCATGACGGCGTAGTGTGTTACTAATGGTTTTCTTTGAAACTGTGGTCCCAGCTCTCTTCAGGTCATTGACCAGGTCCTGCCGTGTAGTTCTGGGCTGATCCCTCACCTTCCTCATGATCATTGATGCCCCACGAGGTGAGATCTTGCATGGAGCCCCAGACCGAGGGTGACTGACCGTCATCTTGAACTTCTTCCATTTTCTAATAATTGCGCCAACAGTTGTTGCCTTCTCACCAAGCTGCTTGCCTATTGTCCTGTAGCCCGTCCCAGCATGTGCAGGTCTACAATTTTATCCCTGATGTCCTTACACAGCTCTCTGGTCTTGGCCATTGTGGAGAGGTTGGAGTCTGTTTGATTGAGTGTGTGGACAGGTGTCTTTTATACAGGTAACGAGTTCAAACAGGTGCAGTTAATACAGGTAATGAGTGGAGAAAAGGAGGGCTTCTTAAAGATAAACTAACAGGTCTGTGAGAGCCGGAATTCTTACTGGTTGGTAGGTGATCAAATACTTATGTCATGCAATAAAATGCAAATTAATTACTTAAAAATCATACAATGTGATTTTCTGGATTTATGTTTTAGATTCCGTCTCTCACAGTTGAAGTGTACCAATGATAAAAATTACAGACCTCTACATGCTTTGTAAGTAGGAAAACCTGCAAAATCGGCAGTGTATCAAATACTTGTTCTCCCCACTGTATATACATACATACATACAGCGGGGAGAACAAGTATTTGATACACTGCCGATTTTGCAGGTTTTCCTACTTACAAAGCATGTAGAGGTCTGTAATTTTTATCATAGGTACACTTCAACTTGTGAGAGACGGAATCTAAAACAAAAATCCAGAAAATCACATTGTATGATTTTTAAGTAATTAATTTGCATTTTATTGCATGACATAAGTATTTGATACAACAGAAAAGCAGAACTTAATATTTGGTACAGAAACCTTTGTTTGCAATTACAGAGATCATACGTTTCCTGTAGGTCTTGACCAGGTTTGAACACACTGCAGCAGGGATTTTGGCCCACTCCTCCATACAGACCTTCTCAAGATCCTTCAGGTTTCGTGGCTGTCGCTGGGCAATACGGACTTTCAGCTCCCTCCAAAGATGTTCTATTGGGTTCAGGTCTGGAGACTGGCTAGGCCACTCCAGGACCTTGAGATGCTTCTTACGGAGCCACTACTTAGTTGCCCTGGCTGTGTGTTTTTCGGGTCGTTGTCATGCTGGAAGACCCAGCCACGACCCATCGTCAATGCTCTTACTGAGGGAAGGAGATTGTTGGCCAAGATCTCGCGATACATGGCCCCATCCATCCTCCCCCAATACGGTGCAGTCGTCCTGTCCCCTTTGCAGAAAAGCATCCCCAAATAATGATGTTTCCACCTCCATGCTTCACGGTTGGGATGCTGTTCTTGGGGTTGTACTCATCCTTCTTCTTCCTTCAAACACGGCAAGTGGAGTTTAGACCAAAAAGCTCTATTTTTGTCTCATCAGACCACATGACCTTCTCCCATTCCTCCTCTGGATCATCCAGATGGTCATTGGCAAACTTCAGACGGGCCTGGACATGCGCTGGCTTGAGCAAGGGGACCTTGCGTGCGCTGCAGGATTTTGATTCATGACGGCGTAGTGTGTTACTAATGGTTTTCTTCGAGACTGTGGTCCCAGCTCTCTTCAGGTCATTGACCAGGTCCTGCTGTGTAGTTCTGGGCTGATCCCTCACCTTCCTCATGATCATTGATGCCCCACGAGGTGAGATCTTGCATGGAGCCCTAGACCGAGGGTGATTGACCGTCATCTTGAACTTCTTCCATTTTCTAATAATTGCGCCAACAGTTGTTGCCTTCTCACCAAGCTGCTTGCCTATTGTCCTGTAGCCCATCCCAGCCTTGTGCAGGTCTACAATTTTATCCCTGATGTCCTTACACAGCTCTCTGATTGAGTGTGTGGACAGGTGTCTTTTATACAGGTAACGAGTTCATACAGGTGCAGTTAATACAGGTAATGAGTGGAGAACAGGAGGGCTTCTTAAAGAAAAACTAACTGGTCCGTGAGTGCCGGAATTCTTACTGGTTGGTAGGTGATCAAATACTTATGTCATGCAATAAAATGCAAATTAATTACTTAAAAATCATACAATGTGATTTTCTGGATTTTTGTTTTAGATTCCGTCTCTCACAGTTGAAGTGTACCTATGATAAAAATTACAGACCTCTACATGCTTTGTAAGTAGGAAAACCTGCAAAATCGGCAGTGCATCAAATACTTGTTCTCCCCAAAAAAAAAGTATTTAGTCAGCCACCAATTGTGCAAGTTCTCCCACTTAAAAAGATGAGAGAGACCTGTAATTTTCATCATAGGTACACGTCAACTATGACAGACAAAATGAGAAAAATAAATCCAGAAAATCACATTGTACGATTTTTTATGAATTTATTTTCAAATTATGGTGGAAAATAAGTATTTGGTCAATAACAAAAGTTTCTCAATACTTTGCTATATACCCTTTGTTGGCAATGACACAGGTCAAACGTTTTCTGTAAGTCTTCACAAGGTTTTCACACACTGTTGCTGGTATTTTGGCCCATTCCTCCATGCAGATCTCCTCTAGAGCAGTGATGTTTTGGGGCTGTTGCTGGGCAACATGGACTTTCAACTCCCTCCAAATATTTTCTATGGGGTTGAGATCTGAAGACTGGCTAGGCCACTCCAGGACCTTGAAATGCTTCTTACGAAGTCACTCCTTCGTTGCCCGGGCGGTGTGTTTGGGATCATTGTCATGCTGAAAGACCCAGCCGCGTTTCATCTTCAATGCCCTTGCTGATGGAAGGAGGTTTTCACTCAAAACCTCACGATACATGGCCCCATTCATTCTTTCCTTTACACGGATCAGTCGTCCTGGTCCCTTTGCAGAAAAACAGCCCCAAAGCATGATGTTTCCACCCCCATGCTTCACAGTAGGTATGGTGTTCTTTGGATGCAACTCAGCATTCTTTGTCCTCCAAACACGACCAGTTGAGTTTTTACCAAAAAGTTATATTTTGGTTTCATCTGACCATATGACATTCTCCCAATCCTCTTCTGGATCATCCAAATGCACTCTAGCAAACTTCAGACGGGCCTGGACATGTACTGGCTTAAGCAGGGGGGCACGTATGGCACTGCAGGATTTGAGTCCCTGGCGGCGTAGTGTGTTACTGATGGTAGGCTTTGTTACTTTGGTCCCAGCTCTCTGCAGGTCATTCACTAGGTCCCCCCGTGTGGTTCTGGGATTTTTGCTCACCGTTCTTGTGATCATTTTGACCCCACGGGGTGAGATCTTGCGTGGAGCCCCAGATCGAGGGAGATTATCAGTGGTCTTGTATGTCTTCCATTTCCTAATAATTGCTCCCACAGTTGATTTCTTCAAACCAAGCTGCTTACCTATTGCAGATTCAGTCTTCCCAGCCTGGTGCAGGTCTACAATTTTGTTTCTGGTGTCCGTTGACAGCTCTTTGGTCTTGGCCATAGTGGAGTTTGGAGTGTGACTGTTTGAGTTTGTGGACAGGTGTCTTTTATACTGATAACAAGTTCAAACAGGTGCCATTAATACAGGTAACGAGTGGAGGACAGAGGAGCCTCTTAAAGAAGAAGTTACAGGTCTGTGAGAGCCAGAAATCTTGCTTGTTTGTAGGTGACCAAATACTTATTTTCCACCATAATTTGCAAATAAATTCATTAAAAATCCTACAATGTGATTTTCTAGATTTTTTTTCCTCAATTTGTCTGTCATAGTTGACGTGTACCTATGATGAAAATTACAGGCCTCTCTCATCTTTTTAAGTGGGAGAACTTGCACAATTGGTGGCTGACTAAATACTTTTTTTCCCCACTGTACATATCCTTTAAAAAAATATATTTCCCTTTATTACTTTCCAACACCGCCACCCCTTCCCTAATTTGAGTAAACTAGTAAACAACAATGCTTAGGCCTCTACTTCCAGCTTATACATACTATGTACATTTTATGGACACAGTCAATTTTACAATAATTATATTTTGTTTGTTTTTACTCCTGAACTTCCTCTACCCTCAACCTCTCCGTTCATTTTCATGATGTCCATCCGGTTTGCTTCTATATGCCATATCTTTCTAACTGTGCTCTTTCACAAAAGCTCTCAACCTATAACCTATATACCTATTATGGACACAGTATGCTTTACATTATTAGTTATCTTGTTGTTATTAGTTGTTGTTAGTTGTTATTAGTCCCATCCTTCAGCTCCATTCAACCCCTCCCATCTATCTCTTAACACCATCCATATTGGATTTCTATTTGCCATATATTTTTCAACTGTACTGTGATGTTTTACTAAAGTTCTGAACCCTTCTATTCTCATTGTTTCTAAAGATTGTAAATTGAAAATAAACATTTTTGCTAAAAGTATTATTATATTATTGATCGATTGACTATGACTTTTCAGATCACCCAGTAGTGCTATCTGCTGGGTTAGCTCCAGGTAAATATTGCAATCCTTCAGCCATTCCTGGACCTGTGTCCAGAATCAAGCTAAAAATGGACATTACCAAAACAAATGATCTAATGATTCTGTCTCTTCGCAGCGAAATCTGCAGAGCTGGGAAGATTGTATCCCCCGTATAAATAACATTCTATTGGTAGCAAGAATTTTGTATAATAATTTAATTTGAAAAATTCTAAGTTTTGAATCCGGCGTCATTTTGCGTATCAGTTCATAAACACTATGCCATGGAATCCGTAAGTCAAAAATCTCTTCCCAACTATTTTGCAATCTATTTGGTCCTTAAATTAAACTGGTATACTTTTTTATTTATCACAGTTTTCTTTAAGCAATTATGTTCTTTAATATGGCCCCGTGTAGCTCAGTTGGTAGAGCATGGCGCTTGCAACGCCAGGGTTGTGGGTTCGATTCCCACGGAGGGCCAGTATGAAAAATAAATAAAATAAAATGTATGCACTCACTAACTGTAAGTCGCTCTGGATAGGAGCGTCTGCTAAATGACTAAAATTTAAAATATAAGGCCGACAGACATGTTCCTTACTTTCCTCTTCCATTTTTGTGGTAATGCTGCAATTATTTGGTTGTAATTTTGGGTAGAGCAGACATTTCCATATGTTTTTGTTAGCTGCATGTGCGACGTAACTCCACCAGTCCTACCGATGATATTATTTACGAAGATTATACCTTCTTTAAAAATTTTGTCAAAAAAAAGAGTTTTTTTAATCAATTAGTATATTTGAGTTTAACCATATTTGAGTCTTGGTGGTTCCAAACTTCTTCCATTTAAGAATGATGGAGGCCACTGTGTTCTTGGGGACCTTCAACGCTGCAGACATTTTTTGGTAGCCTTCCCCAGATCTTTGCCTCGACACAATCCTGTTTTGGAGCTCTACGGACAATTCCTTTGACCTCATGGCTTGGTTTTTGCTCTGACATGCACTGTCAACTGTGGGACCTTATATAGACAGGTGTGTGCCTTTCCAAATCATGTCCAATCAATTGAATTTACCACAGGTGGACTCCAATCAAGTTGTAGAAGCATTTCAAGTATGATCAACGGAAACAGGATGCACCTGAACTCAATTTCAAGTCTCATAGCAAAGGGTCTGAATACTTATATAAATAAGGTATTTCTGTTTTTAATTTTTAATAAATGTGCAAAATTTTCTGAAAACCTGTTTTCGCTTTGTCATCATGGGGTATTGTGTGTAGATTGCTGAGGATTCTTTTTTTAAAATCCATTTTAGAATAAGGCTGTAACATAACAAAATGTGAAAAACGTCTAGGGGTCTGAATACTTTCCGAAGGCACTGTATGTAGGTGGGTGCATTGCCAAATGTGACCAAATGTTCTCATGTGGTAAGCAAAATGCCACAATTAATAAAATCAGTCAGATATCCTAGTGGAGTTCAATGCTCAACTTCCAACTTTGTCTGTGAAAACACTTTTTAGTAGTTTTTGTAATACTTGACCCAGTTAGCTGGTTCTTTTGTTTGCAGTGCCTTTCTGCCTCAATGTGAGTACATAACTGTTTCAGAGGATGAGGGATAAAGAACTGTTAAAGTTCCAATGTAGCAGTTTGTATCTCAATATCAACTCATTTCTGAGTAACAATTAAGTGTAATATTTTCAATTAAAAAGGTCCAAAAAAACCAAAAATAGCTTCTTAGCAAAACATTTATTTCTTAAGCAAGAATTTTGCTAGGACTGTTAGCCTGTTTTGATGGGATGGAGTTTTCACCTGCCTGGTGACATCACTCGTGGGCAAGACAAAATATTTAAATGTCTTTTAACAGGGTATGGTAGTAGGTGCCAGGCGCATCGGTTTGTGTCAAGAACTGCAACACTGCTGGGTTTTTTACGCTCAACAGTTTCCCGTGTGTATCAAGAATGGTCCACAACCCAAAGGACATCCAGCCAACTTGACACAACTGTGGGAAGCATTGGAGTCAACATAGGCCAGCATCCCTGTGGAACACTTTCGATACATTGTAGAGTCCATGCCCCACGAATTCAGGCTGTTGTGAGGGTAAAAGGGGGGCGGTGCAACTCAAAATTAGGAAGGTGTTCCTAATGTTTGGTATACTCAGTGTACTGTGCCTTTAATGTCTTGGTTAATGCCTTACCTTGTTTCTAATGCATCGCTAATAGCCTAATGAGAGATTTTATTAAGCAATTTACTCCACAATTATTGTCTCCTCTAGCTTTTCACTGGAAAAGTAAGATGGAGGAACATATGAGAGAGAGAGAGAGAGAGAGAGAGCGAGAGAGCGAGAGAGAGAGAGAGAGAGAGAGAGAGCACAATACATTAGCAGAGAGAGAGATAGTGGATTTTAGCTTAGTTATTATGCTTAGAGATTAAGCACACACACACTGTCGGAAGTGTGTGTACACACACACTTCAATGCAATGTTTATTCCGTACTAGGCTGCTTCCTATGGTTGTGCAACAGTGTAGACTACAGTAGGTGTCCCTATGCACAGACTGCTCCCCCACTGAGGTGAAAGTGGGTTCTCCAAAGCACTCAACTTGAGCAGTATACAGTATAGATACAATTGTAAGATAGAGAGATGTGTGTGTGTGTGTGTGTGTTGTGTGTGTGTGCGTGTGTGCGTGTGAGTTCTTGTAAACCAAATATTGTTGTTGTGTGGAGGCCGGAGGGAGGTGCTTATTTTGGAAGTGCCATGAAGCTGTGAGACATACATGTGTATAGCAGATGTTATTGCGGGTGTAGCGAAATGCTTGTGCTTCTAGCTCCGACAGTGCAGTAATATCTAGCAAGTAATATCTAACAATTTCACAACTTGTACCCAATACACACAAATCTAGTTAAGGAATTAATTAAGAATATATACATATATGGACGAGCGATGTCAGAGCGGCATGGACTAAGATACAGTAGAATAGTATAGAATGCAGTATATACATAAGAGATGAGTAATGCAAGATATGTAAACATTATTAAAGTGACTAGTGTTCCATTCTTAAAGTGGCCAGTGATTTCTAGTCTACAGTGAGGGAAAAAAGTATTTGATCCCCTGCTGATTTTGTACGTTTGCCCACTGACAAAGACATGATCAGTCTATAATTTTAATGGTAGGTTTATTTGAACAGTGAGAGACAAAATAACAACAACAAAATCCAGAAAAACGAATGTCAAAAATGTTATGAATTGATTTGCATTTTAATGAGGGAAATAAGTATTTGACCCCTCTGCAAAACATGACTTAGTACTTGGTGGCAAAACCCTTGTTGGCAATCACAGAGGTCAGCCGTTTCTTGTAGTTGGCCACCAGGTTTGCACACATCTCAGGAGGGATTTTGTCCCACTCCTCTTTGCAGATCTTCTCCAAGTCATTAAGGTTTCGAGACTGACGTTTGGCAACTCGAACCTTCAGCTCCCTCCACAGATTTTCTATGGGATTAAGGTCTGGAGACTGGCTAGGCCACTCCAGGACCTTAATGTGCTTCTTCTTGAGCCACTCCTTTGTTGCCTTGGCCGTGTGTTTTGGGTCATTGTCATGCTGGAATACCCATCCACAACCCATTTTCAATGCCCTGGCTGAGGGAAGGAGGTTCTCACCCAGGATTTGACGGTACATGGCGCCGTCCATCGTCCCTTTGATGCGGTGAAGTTGTCCTGTCCCCTTAGCAGAAAAACACCCCCAAAGCATAATGTTTCCACCTCCATGTTTGACGGTGGGGATGGTGTTCTTGGGGTCATAGGCAGCATTCCTCCTCCTCCAAACACGGTGAGTTGAGTTGATGCCAAAGAGCTCGATTTTGGTCTCATCTGACCACAACACTTACACCCAGTTCTCCTCTGAATCATTCAGATGTTCATTGGCAAACTTCAGACGGGCATGTATATGTGCTTTCTTGAGCAGGGGGACCTTGCGGGCGCTGCAGGATTTCAGTCCTTCACGGCGTAGTGTGTTACCAATTGTTTTCTTGGTGACTATGGTCCCAGCTGCCTTGAGATCATTGACAAGATCCTCCCGTGTAGTTCTGGTCTGATTCCTCAGTGTTCTCATGATCATTGCAACTCCACGAGGTGAGATCTTGCATGGAGCCCCAGGCCGAGGGAGATTGACGGTTCTTTTGTGTTTCTTCCATTTGCGAATAATCGCACCAACTGTTGTCATCTTCTCACCAAGCTGCTTGGCGATGGTCTTGTAGCCCATTCCAGCCTTGTGTAGGTCTACAATCTTGTCCCTGACATCCTTGGAGAGCTCTTTGGTCTTGACCATGGTGGAGAGTTTGGAATCTGATTGATTGATTGCTTCTGTGGACAGGTGTCTTTTATACAGGTAACAAGCTGAGATTAGGAGCACTCCCTTAAAGAGTGTGCTCCTAATCTCAGCTCGTTACCTGTATAAAAAACACCTGGGAGCCAGAAATCTTTCTGATTGAGAGGGGGTCAAATACTTATTTCCCTAAAATGAAAATCAATTTATAACATTTTTGACATGCGTTTTTCTGGATTTTTTTGTTGTTATTCTGTCTCTCACTGTTCAAATAAACCTACCATTAAAATTATAGACTGATCATTTTTTTGTCAGTGGGCAAACGTACAAAATCAGCAGGGGATCAAATACTTTTTTTCCTCACTGTATGTCTATAGGCAGCAGCCTCTAATGTGCTAGTGATGGATGTTTAACAGCCTGATGGCCTTGATATAGAAGCTGTTTTTCAGTCTCTCGGTCCCAGCTTTGATGCACCTGTACTGACCTCGCCTTCTGGATGACAGCAGGGTGAACAGGCAGTGGCTCGGGTGGTTGATGTCCTTGATGATCTTTTTGGCCTTCCTGTGACATCTTTTTGGCCTTCCTGTGCTGTAGGTGTCCTGGAGGGCGGGTTGTTTGCCCCGGGTAATGCATTGTGCAGACCGCACTACCCTCTGGAGAGCCTTGTGGTTGCGGGCGGTGCAGTTGCCGTATCAGGTGGTGATACAGCCCGACAGGATGCTCTCAATTGTGCATCTGTAAAAGTTTGTGAGGGTTTTTGGTGCCAAGCCAAATTTCTTTAGCCTCCTGAGATTGAAGAGGCTCTGTTGCGCCTTCTTCACCCCACTGTCTGTGTGGGTGGCCCATTTCAGTTTGTCAGTGATGTGTACGCCAAGGAACTTGAAGCTTTCCAGCTTCTCCACTGCAGTCTCGTCAATGTGGATAGGGGGTGCACCACTTGCCTATAAGGCCAAACCAGAACTCAGTGTTCTCAGCACACTATGAAATGTTCTTTGAAATAGAGGTACACCCATTATGTACTAACTATCCAAAGAGGTACCATCAAATCAGCTTCACTTTGCAGATTTTGGATTCTCTTCTGTACTGCTTTTGTCCAGTTGCCAAGGTAATGAGACAGACACACACATGAACACTATATCAAATATCTCAATTATTTTCACCTACATTTCGAAGTAACTATTCAGATATTTTTGTTGTTGAAAATACAGGTAGTTGAATATTGGAAGCCCTGTGGGCTGTGGTCAAAAGTAGTGGTCTATATAGGGAATAGGGTACCATTTGGAACGTAGCCATAGAGATGGACAAATAAGAGCGCTCTGTTGACAAAGAACAGCTGCTGTTTATCAACAGCAGACGGTAAATGCCACTTTCCACTCTCGCCACTTGTGTCTTTTGAGGGAGATAGACAAAATTAAGATGATAATATCTTTAAAAATCTGCGATTGCATTAGTGGAGAAAGAGGGGAGAGAGGGCGGGAGAGGAGGGAGAGAGGGAAAGAGTGAGAGAGAGGGGGGAGAGGAGAGAGGGACAGAGTGAGAGAGAGGGGGGAGAGGAGGGAGAGAACGAAGGAACAAAAGTGGGAGCGAGAGAGAGGGAGAATGTGTGTGACAGAGAGAGAGAGACAGAGAGAGAGAGAGAGAATGGGAGAGGGTGAACAGATAGACAGAAAGACCCATATTATAATTATTGTTGTTGTTATTATTATTATTATTATTAGTGCTTAGAATTCTTTCTCGTTATGCTACAGTTAGAGGTTAGGGGTCATCGGAATGGAATGAGGTAAGAGACACTGATGATGAGCTGCCACATCCACATATCACCACCAAGCCTAGTTTGATAATCACACTGTCCATTATTATCCTGGATATTTATACTTTTTTCATCTAAATTCTGAAAAACTGTCATACTGTTAACTTGGGACAGGAATACAAAACAGCTCGTAAAACACACATACAGTGGTTTTAACTTGGCAGATGTCACATACATAAACCCCTGGAGATAAAGTACAGTACCAGTCAAAAGTTTGGACACACCTACTCATTCCAGGGTTTTTCTTTATTTTTACTATTTTCTACATTGTAGAAAAATAGTGAAGACATCAAAACTATGAAATAATACATATGGAATCATGTAGTAACCAAAAAAGTGTTAAACAAATCAAAATATATTTTATATTTGAGATTCTTAAAATAGCCACCCTTTGCCTTGATGACAGCTTTTCACAATCTTGGCATTCTCTCAACCATCTTCATGAGGTAGTCACCTGGAATGCATTTCAATTAACAGGTGTGCCTTGTTAAAAGTAAATTTTTGGAATTTCTTTCCTTCTTAATGCGTTTGAGCCAATCAGTTGTGTTGTGACAAGGTAGGGGTGATATACAGAAGATAGCCCTATTTGGTAAAAGACCAAGTCCATATTATGGCAAGAACAGCTCAAATAAGCAAAGCGAAACGACAGTCCATCATTACTTTAAGACATGAAGGACAGTCAATTCAGAAAATGTCAAGAACTTTGAATGTTTCTTCAGGTGCAGTCGCAAAAACCATCAAGCGCTATGGTGAAACTGGCTCTCATGAGGACCGCCACAGGAAAGGAAGACCCAGAGTTACCTCTGCTGCAGAGGATAAGTTCATTAGAGTTAACTGCACCTCAGATTGCAGCCCAAATAAATGCTTCACAGAGTTCAAGTAACAGACACATCTCAACATCAACTGTTCAGAGGAGACTGCTTGACTCAGGCCTTCATGGTCGAATTGCTGCAAAGAAACCACTACTAAAGGACACCAATAATAAGAAGAGACTTGCTTGGGCCAAGAAACAGCGAGCAATGGACATTAAATCGGTGGAAATCTGTCCTTTGGTCTGATGAGTCCAAATTTGAGATTTTTTGTTCCAACCGCCGCGTCTTTATGAGTCGCAGAGTAGGTGAACGGATTATCTCCGAATGTGTGGTTCCCATTGGGAAGCATGGAGGAGGAGGTGTGATGGTGTGGGGGTGCTTTGCTGGTGACACTGTCAGTGATGTATTTAGAATTCAAGGCACACATAACCAGCATGGCTACCACAGCATTCTGCAGCGATACGCCATCCCATCTGTTTTACGCTTAGTGGGACTATCATTTGTTTTTTCAACAGGACAATGACCCAAAACACACCTAAAGGCTGTGTAAGGGCTATTTGACCAAGGAGAGTGATGGAGTGCTGCATCAGATGACCTAGCCTCCACAATCGCCCGACCTCAACCCAATTGAGATGGTTTGGGATGTGTTGGACCGCAGAGTGAAGGAAAAGCAGCCAACAAGTGCTCAGCATATGTGGGAACTCCTTCAAGACTGTTGGAAAAGCATTCGTCATGAAGCTGGTTGAGAGAATGCCAAGTGTGTGCAAAGCTGTCATCAAGGCAAAGGGTGGCTACTTTGAAGAATCTAAAATCTAAAATATATTTTGATTTGTTTAACACTTTTTTGGTTACTACATGATTCCATATGTGTTATTTCATAGTTTTGATGTCTTCACTATTATTCTACAATGTAGAAAATAGTAAAAATAAAGAAAAACTTTTGACTGGTACTGTATGTTCATTCATAACCAGACCCTAATGGCTTGTTGAATCAGTCATAACCCGCCAAGCTGAACATAGGGTATTTGCTGGGCTATTTTTAGCTCTGGTCCAGGTCGTTAGTGTGTGCTCCTAGTCCAGGTTGTTAATGAGCATGGAGAAATGCACACTAACATCGTGGACCAGAGCTAGGTTATTTGGTGTCTCTGCTAAAGTGAATGGGCCAAGAACAACAGATCATTTTCACTGATCACATTTAATTTTGACATTTAATTCTGACTGATAACATTTAATTTTGACAGAGACAACATCACCCTTGGCTCTGGTTAAATCAGTGCACCGTATGCCTGGTCCCATCTGTTTGTGCTCTTGCAAACGCCATAGCTGTCATTGAGAAGCCGAACATGACATTGTCATTGGCATGACAAGGAGTTGGCATGATAGCACAAACAGACTGGCCCTCAGGCCTGCCCATGTGGAGGAAGAGGAAAGCCAACATGGTCATAGATTACTAGTATATTCCAACAAAAATTCAATACAAACCTAGCCTGGTGGTCCCAGATCTAATTGTGTTGTCTTGTCAACTACTAGACTATATGGTCATTGTCATTGCCACACACCAGCCATAGAAGTCTGCAAACAGACAGCACAAACAGTTCTGGGACCAACAGGCTAACACAAATGCTACTTTTATATGAGAACACATAGGCTACTTTTAATTTCATAAATGAAACGTTGTTCATTTAATAGCCTGGCTACACTTCAAAATGTGGATATGTGGTGACTGCCTTTAGACATTGTGGCACAAACAACATTAATTAATAAAGCGCATCATTACTATGCAGATACCACCTAGTCCCATGTGATTAACATTAACCTTGAAGAAGAACTTTAATTATAATTTCCCTGTGGAGGAGCAGGGCTTATTAGAAGACAATCAGTGTCAGCACAAACTCATTCATTATGAGGCTTTCCTGCCATGGATTTAATTACAACAATGAAAGACCCCTCTACAGTCACACGAACACTCACGTACACAGACACACACGAACGCACGCGCGCAAACACAAATACAGACACACACTTGTGCTTAAAATGTTATATAGCTATCTCGTTGCGGTCTTTCTAATTTATTATAATGGACTCATCGTACTCATCGTGCTTTGCTTATCTTGGCCAGGTCGCAGTTGTAAATGAGAACTTGTTCTCAACTGGCTTACCTGGTTAAATAAAGGTGAAATAAAATAAAATAAAAAATAAAAACTCTAGTGACTCCTTTTGGCAGGCTGAGCGCCTGAAGGCTGACAGGTCGTCAGTTGAACGGTGTTTCCTCCGACACATTGGTGCGGCTGGCTCCCTGGTTAAGCTGGCGGGTGTTAAGAAGCGAGGTTTGACGGGTCATGTTTCGGAGGCCTTTGGGGAGTTGCAGCAATGAGCCAAGATCGTAATCACGAAATTGGGGAGAAAAGAGGGTAAAATAATAATAATAATAATAATAATAAATACTTTTTTGTATTATTATTATAAAGGAAACCCTACAGCTACATAAAAGTTTGATATTTCAAAAAAGGAAATGAAGGGACGCATGAAAGTGTACACTGAGTGTGGTGGACCATTCTTGATACACAGGGGAAACTGTTGAGCGTGAAAAATCCAGCAGCTTTGCAGTTCTTGACACCAACCGGTGCGCCTGGCACCTACTACCATACCCCGTTCAAAGGTACTTAAATATTTTGTCTTTCCCATTCACCCTCTGAATGGCACACATACACAATCCATGTCTCAAGGCTTAAAAATCCTTCTTTAACCTGTCTCCTCCCCTTCATCTACACTGATTGAAGTGGATTTAACAAGTGACATCAATCAGGGATCATAGTGTGGTATCTGAACAATTTATGACTTTGCTAATGGTTGCAAATGGTTTTAGAGGATGTTGACTCAGCTTAAGGGAAGCATCTGGAGAGTAGTTCTATAGGGGCACCCAAAAGCAGAGGAAGTCTGTTAGGTGGAGTCCTGGGATTGGTCTGTAGGGGAAAACACCCATATCAGGTTACATAAGATATATACTATGGTTTGGGACAGAGGACGGGGAGAATAACATATTTAGAGTTTGGGTCAGGTTATTCTCCAGATGTCTGCAGATATCTGTAAATTGGCGCTGAGATCTTCAAATGTAATAAATAATTATAATCGAGGACAGTGTCAGCGGATTTCCTTGTTCTCACAGCATAATTAACATAGTTTTCTCGACACTACAATAACTTTCACCTAGATTCACCTGGTCAGTCTATATCATTGAAAGAGCAGGTGTCCTTAATGTTTTGTACACAGTGTATTTCTTCATCATACACGTGACATTTTTTGTTATCCAAAACATGTAGGTGATAACCTATTCTGTATACACGCACGTAGCCTAATTGCCAACGCTCAGGCAGTTGTTTACACTTTTAGAGTCTAATGCATGATCAATACGGCCCTCAACATCTGTGTACAGTAAGTCATACTGTGGCAGAAAGCACTTCAAATACTCACAGATGGAGCCAAAGATGTCACGAAAAGAATCCAATAGAGACGGACGCGCATCTTGAGTGTTCGAAGCTGTTTGAATGCGCCAGATCAACTCAGCTCACTGTCCACTCTCACTGAACTGCCGTCTATTTAATTAAGTCTCCAATGACGTGCGCTGAGGGAGGTAGCGGGAAGCCTATCTCCCCACCACCGGGCGAGATGCATCTAAAACCATCTCTCCGCTGCGTCGGAGCCTGCGCTTGCCACTGGCGGTCTGCACGAGTGTCTTGCACAACAAAGTCACATTACTGAAGCTATAATCTGTTTTGAATTTGTATTATCACAACTAACGCCACCCGTGTAAACTTTTATTGTGGGTTTACTGCGCTTTGTGTGCGTCAAACCAAGTGTCCTATTGTAGTCCAGTCCTTTGTCGTGCGTCATTGGACATTTCTGTAAGCGTGTGTGGGGTGGAATTATGGCCATTTCCACTTTGAACAGATCACCTGTAGACTGGAATGTACACAATTGATTTTCCTCGTTATTTTTTATCTTAGAAGTCAATACATAAAATGACATTAAAGCACAATGCGCACTTAATTCACCGATGGCGTGGTAGCTCCAGCGCACACATCAATGCACATTTTCGCCTCAAATCATCTTGCTGTCACGGCTTCCCCCAAGCTGCGTAAATGTGATAGAATTGGAGGCTATGAAATCCTACACTAAGGGAAGATCGTAATTGCATACTCCTCGCGTCCTCGTCCCTTTCGCAAAACCTTGTCCTCCAATGGGTTTTGAGAAGGAGCCGAGGAGAGAGGAGAGAGGTGAGTATGCCATTTAAATTCTCCCCAAGGCACCGCTGGTCCTTGCCACTGCCAGATGATTCAGTGCAGTGGCAAGGTGAGAGTGGATGCTAAAATTCAACAGGGGAGTGTGCAGGGGAATTAGGCTTGGAGTGGCAAACCCCTGGGTCCATGCAAAAAGCTTCAGGGCTGAATGGCATTCGTTTTAACGCACTACACGAATCTGTGTAGCCTACTCATGTAAGGCTTAAAATTACAACAGAGAGAAATTGCAGGTTCTGCCTGGAACCACAAGGGGTTCTGCCTGGAACCACAAAAAGGGTTCTGCCTGGGTTGAGTGTCACCTTGTTAACATCCAGGATTGAGTGTCGCCTTGTTAACATCCAAAAGCGGAAGTCGTGGGTGATATGATCCATCACTATCTGATCTACTTTGTCGCGTCTACACATGGTTTTGAAATGTGTCTCTTATAAGTCTACCGTGTCTGCATTGTGACCAGAGTTCCTGGTGCCACCCTGTAAGCAAATTCTTTAACAGATATTATTTTCTTGATTTTTTTTACGACAATTATCGATGCCATAAGTCAATCGTGCTACCTGTCAATGGTTTTAGAGGCCAGTATAATGATGATTTAAAGAGTTTGACCATCTTGGTCTGTTTATACTTGATTGATATCCAGATACAATGGATCCTCCAGAGGTGGTCAGGAAGATCTGATCACAATCAGATTACAATGCATATCTTAATTTTATACTTTTGTCTAAAAATGTGGGCACAATCAGAACGTGGACAAGACGCATGTTTACATTTACATTTACAGTTTAGTCATTTAGCAGACGCTCTTATCCAGAGCGACTTACAGTTAGTGAGTGCATACATTTTCATACTGGCCCCCCGTGGAAAACGAACCCACAACCCTGGTGTTGCAAGCGCCATATTCTATCAACTGAGCTACACGGGGCCCTTGAATAGTGCAATAACCCTCACATACGTATATATAACATTGACATAAAGCAGTTACAGACATCCACAACATATTAGAACATATCTATGAAGCTGTAAGAACCTATAAATGTGTTGCATGCATGTAGGGGGTTGGATACTGAGAAAAGCACAACAACAGCACTATGAACATGAGACTTCTGTAACATGACAACATAGAGTTCTATAGGCCCTGTCGAATTGTTCTCACTGCTAGTTTCACAGCGCTTATACCTGGTGCATGTTATACCTGGTGCATGTTATACCTGGAGCATGTTATACCTGGTGCATGTTATACCTGGAGCATGTTATACCTGGAGCATGTTATACCTGGTGCATGTTATACCTGGTGCATGTTATACCTGGAGCATGTTATACCTGGTGCATGTTATACCTGGAGCATGCTATACCTGGAGCATGTTATACCTGGTGCATGTTATACCTGGAGCATGTTATACCTGGAGCATGTTATACCTGGTGCATGTTATACCTGGAGCATGTTATACTATACCTGGTGCATGTTATACCTGGAGCATGTTATACCTGGTGCATGTTATACCTGGTGCATGTTATACCTGGAGCATGTTATACCTGGAGCATGTTATACCTGGTGCATGTTATACCTGGAGCATGTTATACCTGGAGCATGTTATACCTGGAGCATGTTATACCTGGAGCATGTTATACCTGGTGCATGTTATACCTGGTGCATGTTATACCTGGAGCATGTTATACCTGGAGCATGTTATACCTGGAGCATGTTATACCTGGAGCATGTTATACCTGGAGCATGTTAAACCTGGTGCATGTTATACCTGGTGCATGTTATACCTGGTGCATGTTATACCTGGTGCATGTTATACCTGGTGCATGTTATACCTGGAGCATGTTATACCTGGTGCATGTTATACCTGGAGCATGTTATACCTGGAGCATGTTATACCTGGAGCATGTTATACCTGGTGCATGTTATACCTGGAGCATGTTATACCTGGTGCATGTTATACCTGGTGCATGTTATACCTGGTGCATGTTATACCTGGTGCATGTTATACCTGGAGCATGTTATACCTGGAGCATGTTATACCTGGTGCATGTTATACCTGGTGCATGTTAGCACCAGGTATAAACGGGGCTAAAGACTTCCAACCTGGAACAGGTGTGAGGAGTTAGGAAGTGGAAGAAAGTGACATCATTAACAAACTTTATTTAAAAGTTGAACAGTACATGTTTTACAGGTACCGTAACCATAGTGACTGATAAAGAATAGGGTCATGTGGATTTCACTGAAGTCACATGATGCTGGTGGCAGACTCTTGAAAGCCCTTAGTCAGTTTGTTAATTAAAAATACATAGGATATCTTTCCCAACACAATCTCTTTTACAAACACCATAAAATACTATCAAAATACTATTTCTGGTGACATTGTAAATCATTATTATTGCTCAATTCCATCCAAAAGTGCAGAACTGTAGAGAAAATATGAGGCTTTGTATACAAATTGCACACATTTACACCACTTGTAAAATACAAAAGAAATGTTCCCTATAAAAATGGAAAACAGTTCTCTGCAAAAGCAGCATTCGATTTAGCTATTGAGCCCCATTGGTGTAAGGTGAAGTTGCCCCTATAATCTGATCTTGGGTCAGTGTTTAATTTTCCCCACTAATGGTTAAGGTTATGATTGGGGAGGGGAAGTAGATCTGCACTAAGGGAAAATTCACCCCAGAGCTTGCTTCATTAGTGAAGAACATTGGTCGCCTCCTTGACTGATGGTATGACAGATGTCATTCCTTATTGCTTTCAGATACAATAATACATACAAAGGAAAAAGATCAACACTTAGGATCCTTATAAGAACAAAAAACAGAGGTCCTCTCTATACATGGTCTCTAAAATGTATGGCTATAACAAAATTCTAAAATCCCTTACCACGAAACATAACAAAATCATATTCCTATGATGGTATATAATCTATAGGCCTGCTATTATGCTCAATCCAGATATTATCCAAAGAGACACAAACATGATTGTGGACTACAGGAAAAAGAAGAGGACCGAGCACACCCCCATTCTCATCGACGGGGCTGTAGTGGAGCAGGTTGAGAGCTTCAAGTTCCTTGGTGTCCACATCACCAACAAACTAACATGGTCCAAGCACACCAAAACAGTCGTGAGGAGGGCACGACAAAACCTATTCCCCCTAAGGAGACTGAAAAGATTTGGCATGGGTCCTCAGATCCTCAAAAGGTGCTGCACCATCAAGAGCATCCTGACTGGTTGCATCACCGCCTGGTATGGCAACTGCTCGGCCTCCGACCACAAGGCACTACAGAGGGTAGTGCGTACGGCCCAGTACATCACTGGGGCCAAGCTTCCTGCCATCCAGGACATCTATACCAGGCGGTGTCAGAGGAAGGCCCTAAAAATTGTCAAAGACTCGAGCCACCCTAGTCATAAACTGTTCTCTCTGCTACCGCACGGCAAGCGGTACCGGAGCGCCAAGTCTAGGTCCAAGAGGCTTCTAAACAGCTTCTACCCCCAAACCATAAGACTCCTGAACATCTAATCAAATGGCTACCCAACTATTTGCATTGCCCCCCCCCCCCCCCTTTTACTGCTGCTCTTGAATTATTTGTTACTTTTTTTTCTAATTATTTTAAAATTATTTTTAGTATTTCTTTGGTATTCTTTCTTAAAACTGCATTGTTGGTTAAGGGCTTGTAAGTAAGCATTTCACTGTAAGGTCTACACCTGTTGTAACCGGTGCATGTGACAAATAACATTTGATTTGATTTGATAAGCTTGCCATGGTAAACTACACTGTGCCTTGAGGTGCTCGGTGAGGATAGCCTAAACACAAAAGAAGTAGAAGCCCTGTGCACAGCAGTGTATTCTCAAAGATGCAGACCATAGCACGAACTGGCTATGCAAAACACGTGTAAAATACACACACTTGGAAAATCGTAGTTTTGTATCTTCAAAGTGCAGTTTTATATGTGTCTTTTGTAATTGAAACATAATTCAAAACAATGTTAAAAGGGAATGTATCTCCTTTAGGCAAAGGTTGGCACTTGCTTTGTCAGTGAGTGAAATTGAGCTTATAGGTCACGGTAATAGATCATGTTAGTTGATAGTGTGCTATATAATATAACCTTGGAGTAATACAACAATATTATTATGTTGCAGTTATCTTAATGAAATTATCATTAAACATTGTATTTTGCATTAAAACCATTTGAAAATTGATTTCTTAAAAACTATCCCTTTGGGATATAAAAGCTCCCCATGTGCTTTTTACATGACAATAAAGATGTCAGTCTTTCATCTGAAAACTTGAAATATGGAAAAACTTGAGGAAAGCCTATCAACGGTTGAAGAGAGAGTTCCTATATAGTGTATGACCCATGAGTCTGAGTTCAATTCATTTACACAGTAGGCTTCAAAAGCTCCCACAGACACAAGTAACTGGTAGCAAAGCTTTCAATCCCTTGCATTAATTACTGCCTGTTCTCCCCCCACACACAATTATCTTCCCTTCAGACTGACAGCATTTGAAGATGACACAAAGTAACTGCCTCCTCCTAAACGCAATGTAGTCTAGCTGTACTTGTTTTTGTAACATTCATCATGTTGTTTTTGTAGCATGAAACAGATGCTATATTGTCCAGTATTCTCCTCTGTATTGTGTGATTACAATGTGTGCAGTTGCTCAATAAGGGTAATCTTACTTGTGGACACTGTGTTAGTCCGTTGGTAGAAGAAAATCATAACTAGTAACATTGTATAAATGTGTGCACAATAACCTCTCTATCTGTGTTTAACAAGACCATGTAGTGAACTCCTAAGGTTACCATTTTAACTCCTCACCTGTGGTTTTGTTTTGAATTCCTGGTTTTCCTATAGATGTAGGACCTACATTTGAGCCAGTTTGCTACAGCAGGAAAATAATCCTGCAGCAACAGAAAATGTGAATTATTATGTGGATTATAATTAATGGGCATTTTTGTAGGGTTTGATACATTTTTCGTAAGGGAAAATCAAGTCTGAAATTTAAAAGTGGAAATTACAAACTTTAGAAACCTCTTTAAGCCTAAAATATACTACAGGTTTTACATTTCATGAAAGTTCTCCTGCAAGAGGGTAATCAAATAAAGATCCTTCATCTGTACGTTTGTTTCACCACATACTCTATGTGAAGAGTCCATTAGGTCAAAACATTTGACTTAAGAGTGAACAACCATGTCTGTAGGGTGTTTATGCTCTAACTAAAACATAACCAACACACTCAAAACATTAAAACATTAGTGTTAAAAATATAGGGATCCTACAATAACTGCATTTTTTCTAAGACAGCAAAACCAAATATAAAATACTGTACTTGAAAAAAAACATAACCTTCACCCTGCGTGAGTATCCCTTATCCAGGGTTAGAAATCACTTCCATCGTATATAATCGTCTTCTCGATTGTCAAGTGGTAGAGAACTTTCTTTGAGATGAACCTGTCAGGGTTATAGTGAAGAAATAGAACAATATAAAATATGCAACAAAGATTAAACCATCACAAGCAACTTCATAGTACTGCAGTGCTTCAGAGAGCTGTCATCCTTCATCACAAGGGCACATGGGATCTGGAGACTGACTTGATGCTATAGATAGATGTTCTACACAAGCACACTCTGCCATGAGAAGTTGGGTTTCAGCGTGAGCATTCAAGGGTTTGAAGTGATTACGGTTAAGAACATGACTGTTTTGCCTATCGTTCGCTGAGAAGGCATAACTTTCTGCTCTACACAAACACACGGAGAGGTAAAGAGTTTTGACTGAGTACAGGGTAATTATAATAATAAAGGTGTTTAGTGTATCATACCTTGAGAAGGAGTTGTCGAAGATGAGAGTGTAGAGACCAGGGTTCCTGACTTTCAGCTGGCCTTGGATGGTCTCTTTGTGAGAATGACAGCGAGTCAGAGGAATCAGCACCTGAGAGCAGAACACGAGAATAAGTCAATGGAGTCCTAGCCTATAACGCTCAGTGACAATACTGTCGATGTGGAGCAGTTTTTATTTGAGATATTAAAGTTCATGTTCAAAAAGAGGCCACAATCTTCAGTCTCATTGTAATCTGATAGGTTATTTGAATTGGGAATTGGGAGGTGGGGGAGCCCTTCTTTTTGGTGACCATTCAAAATCAAAAGCTATTTTATTGCTATTAAAATAGGCTGTGGTTACGAATACAGAGCTTTAGCCCCCGCCCCCTCCCGCCCCTATGGAAACCTCTTTCTCAAAGCTAAGGATTCGGATCACGTTCTGCGCATGTGTTATTTTACACACACTATGTACAGTTGAAGTTGGAAGCTTACATACACTTAGGTTGGAGTCATTAAAACTTGTTTTTCAACCACTCCACACATTTCTTGTTAACAAACTATAGTTTTGGCAAGTCGGTTAGGACATCTACTTTGTGCATAACACAAGTAATTTTTCCAACAATTGTTTACAGACAGATTATTTCACTTATAATTCACTGTATCACAATTCCAGTGGGTCAGAAGTTTACATACACTAAGTTGACTGTGCCTTTAAATAGCTTGGAAAATTCCAGAAAATGATGTCATGGCTTTAGAAGCTTCTGATAGGCTAATTGACATAATTTGAGTCAATTGGAGGTGTACCTGTGGATGTATTGCAAGGCCTACCTTCAAACTCAGTGCCTCTTTGCTTGACATCATGGGAAAATCCAAAGAAATCAGCCAAGACCTCAGCATAAAAATGGTAGACCTCTACAAGTCTGGTTCATCCTTGGGAGCAATTTCCAAATGCCTGAAGGTACCATGTTCATCTGTATAAACAATAGTACGCAAGTATAAACACCATGGGACCACGCAGCCATCATACCACTCAGGAAGGAGACGCGTTCTGTCTCTTAGAGATTAACGTACTTTGGTGCGAAAAGTGCAAATCAATCCCAGAACAACAGCAAAGGACCTTGTGAAGATGCTGGAGGAAACAGGTACAAAAGTATCTATATCCACAGTAAAACGAGTCCTATATCGACATAACCTGAAAGGCCGCTCAGCAAGGAAGAAGCCACTGCTCCAAAACCGCCATAAAAAAGCCAGACTACGGTTTGCAACTCACATGGGGACAAAGATCGTACTTTTTGGAGAAATGTCCTCTGGTCTGATGAAACAAAAATAGAACTTTTTGGCCATAATGACCATCGTTATGTTTGGAGGAAAAGGGGGAAGG